ATTATCCTCTAATAGCGATAAGTAGTTTTTATTTTAATTTAATACGTTATTATTATATAATAATAGCCTAGATCCGTAGAATAAGGGTTACGTAGACTACTCGCTATATTGGACTACTCGCTATGCATCTACGTTATTTGTTTCTCCAAGCACTGGTAGCACGGCTTTCGGCCTAACGGTCAGTTTACACAACCACGTCCACGATTGCGCCATGTCCAAGGTAAAATTGTTGATCATCCCTGGGCATGCGTGCCCAGTCGGTTTGCTGGTAACGACAGGCTTCTGAAGCTCCAGGGGAGGCAGCTTCAGTCCCACCCCCAACTTCGATTTCGAGGACACAGCTTCTATCCTCCAGTAGGGGCAGAGGGCGATAAGAGCGATTGGTACGCCATCCGCGCAAACGCATCGTATCAGATCATGCTGGACTGTCGCCGTACTAGCGCCGCCACAGAGTGCCTAGAGTGTCTCGAGTACCACTTACGGTCGCTTGTCCAGATGGTTACGGACCACATCTTGAGATGCTGGAATAATCGCCTCTATAACAACGCGTGTCACGAACTTCAGGCTGTCCCAAGACTGAGATCGAGAATGCCCTTGGAGAGTACGAGCTGCCTTCGAGCGTCACGCGTTGTCTACTGTAGTATGATAGCATTAAATGGACAATCAACAATGATTGAAGCATCATGCATTTGACTACTGACCACGCGATGCCAGGCTTGAAAGGCACTCTCGAATCAGGTCACACGCCAGGAGCTGGCCGTCAACATGCAAGTCTGCGTGATGTGAAAAAGCCCGTTTACCGCAGAGGTGGCCCGTCGCGAAAGTGCGTCCGTCCCTCGCCTGCGAGTCTATTTATGGTAGAGTAAGAAGATAGTGGTAGCCAAGTCATCCTACCCACCGAAGTACAAATTCCTTCTGCTTCTCCCCGTTGGCTCCGGCGATTCCAGCCCTCTCGGCATCTATCTGTTCAATTCTGGACTGGATATCAGCGATTTGCTGGCTTAGCTCGATTATGAGGCATTCGACTTCAGGGTCAACGAGCTTCACTTCTTCCCCAAAGGAACTCTCAGCAAGAATGCTGTCTCGAAGCAGCTGCACTGCGCGTCGGGCGTCGGTGAGGTGCGTCACAACTGAATGCTCGAATGACTCTTGAGCGTTGCGCGTGACATCGTATGCCTTGGCTGCGCGTCCCTCCCGGGCTCTCGAGAGGACACGAAGGGTTTCCAGCAGAGTAGGGCCATCGCTTGGATCTGCAGATGATGTGGCAAGGTTGATAGTTAGAAGTCGCAAAAGAGCCTCGATTGGTGGCTCAACATTGAAAGTTTCAGACGAGCGGCGGCGACGGGGTCCCGGTGTAGATGTCGTGACACGAGCACGTGTTGGTGAGGCAGGCTGAACTGGATGCGCCTTCTTGGGAGCCGCAGCTACTGCAGGAACAGCAAGTTCGATCTTCGCTGTATCGATCAATGTTGCTGCGGCAGCTTGGTAGGACTGGACAGCGACTACTCGGGCCTCAAGGCGATTGATGTTGTCTAAGAGGTATACTAAGCACACGAGGATCTAAAGCCGTTAGCATGACATTGCCGTTAAACAACAAAAAGCATTGAGATACTCACGTATGAAATTGCAACCATAGATCGACCGACGGACTGCCCACTCTTTTCCGAAAGCGACTTTAAGGCAGGTTCAAGATACTGCTGCTCAACCGACATCTGGGCGACAGGAAGTATCTCCGCATAGAGGGACTCCAGCTCTTCTTGTAAGGCTTTTACTTCGCCAGCCGGTGCATCCGTGTGTTCGCTGCGAGGGGCCGACTCAAGAGCTTCGAGATATGTCCGGTCAAGCTTGGTACGTGTCATCTCAACGGTGTACTTGATAGCCCTGTGGGCTGTCAGGGGCATAATACATGATAACGGATGGTTAAATAAGTACCTCATACAACATTCTCTTAGTGTTGCAACATTTTGCGTCTCCTCAGGGTCTTCGGGGTCGAGCTCCCACCCCAGCTTTTGCAGGCTTGAAAGCAGCTTGTCGTCCGATCTCAAAGCTTCTTCGATCACTTCATGTATGCTTTCGGTGGTCATGGCTGCCTGCTGCCCCATATCTGATGTCCTATAACCCAGATGCTGCGAGAGTTCCTCGACCTAACTCTGTTAGCATGAACACCTCCAGATGCGTTACAACATTTACTTTTGAGCTAAGCGCACGGCGCTCTGCTGCCCGCCTACTAGTCCTGGTGGCCTCCATCTCCCGACGTGACTCCGTCGACTTAGCGTTACTATCCGCAAGCTTAGCCAAGGCGTTGTGGTGTTGCCTCAACATCTCAGTCTGCTTGTTAATGATGGTCGTGGAGCAGTCGAGCTCCTGGACCGCGGCCCTAAGCTCAGCCTCCCCTATCGCCTCGACTGTGGCTAATTCTTTGGATGCCACGAGCTCATCGACCAGCCCAGCTTGGTCGAGCAACAAGTACCTGGTGCACAGTGAGACCATGATAAGTGGACAGGGATAAGGCGATGTTACAGAGAGAGCTCGTCCTGGGAGAGAAGATTTTCGGTGCCGAGGTGCGTGCTGATCCACTCCTTGAATGCCGTACCATAAGTTGAGTCGTTCAGTACATCCTGAAGTACACTGTCATCGGGCAAAGTGCTCCTCCCATACCTAGAAAGAAGGTCTCTCAGTGCCGTCGAGTCCATCCTCGATAATTCCGTGGTCTTTCACAGTTCCACTTCTTACGTGTCGGGCTGGGCCGAGTTTATGAGGCTCCGATTTGGGGCTCAGGGTGCGCTTAGTCTGTCGTGTCCAGGGGTCCTCTGCCAAGGTAGTGGTGATTGGTGTCGCCTTGATTACTTGCAAAAGGCGCGTTTGAATACGGTATGGTAAGGTGACGGGAGACCAACAGTCTGCCCATCCGAATTTTGATGCACAGACGTCCTCGGTCAATGAGACTCAATGAGACGAGAACGAGTGATTGACAAGTGACGGTCATCTGAACCTCGTCGCCCGTTGATGATGATCCGAGACACGGGCAGAGCCTATTGCTGGGCCCCGCCTAGTGCGCTGATCCACAGCATTCGACAAAACAGAATGCTCCCTGATCGGTACACACCGCCGCCTGAGTGCAACCGCGAATGGTTTGTGAGTCGTTGCTGGGCGGTGCCAATAGGGGTTGACTTAGGCTCGAGTTGCTGAGGAGCGTTTGCATCAACGCCAGATCGGGGCGAGTCAGGTGGGTTGACGAAGATTACTCCGCACCACAAAACGCAGAGGGCTCTGGCTGGGCCCTCACGCCGCTTCGAGTTGTTAGGAATACTATACTGTTGGTCTCCGGCCGCCGCAATGTGGTAGGGCTGGTAGAACAAGTGATGAATTGTCGTCCTCGGAATGCTTACCCCTGGTACATGTCAGCTAGGGCGCTAGCCAAACGCTGACATCGTCCAATGGCAGCAGCTAATCACGTGTTTGTCCCAGTAGAGGCAGGTTGCTGCCCCTCTATTGCTCCATGGCATTGGCAGGCTGTGCAAGTGGTGGCAGCTGTGAGAAGCCGAGTTCCAAGCCACCGCGGGGCGTTCTCTCATCTGCCAGACCAGGGTTATGACCAGTTTCTCGATGCCAAGACGATGTTCATACCTCAAAGGTAGGCATTTGCCAACTCAAGCGTTGCCTCCCCGGGTGCATGCCGTAAAATATCGCTCGGAATCATCCCCGCCGGTCTAATCCGCTGTCCCGCGCTCACCACGGCCTGAGCTTGGGCCCGTTTGCCTTTTTGTCCCAGCCCTATGGTCACCGTTTGCTGATGTTTCTGCGAAATGAAGGCAACTCCGGCCCGGTTCGACGTTCCCATCTCTCGGCATGTCTCGCCTCACATTATATATTAGAGCTTCTCCATGGCAAGACTTGCGCGTCACCTCGGCCAGAGGCGGCAGGAAGCCCACCCCCCCTCCATGACGGACAGTGGTAGACATTGGGCTACACAAGGATTAATGGTTGCTGGTATCATATTCTGTGGTTCGACGGAGGCAGCAAGTCGTCGGTGCTGGAATTCTTCTGATACGTCACCTCAGCAAGCTTGGGTGTTGTTTTAATAGATATCTATCACCACTCGTTGGTTGCATTGCTGTAATGTCAAGCTCTTCCATAAGCCGCGTACCAAACACTACCTAGGTGCCTCACTTGCCAGGTCTGGGTTGAGGTAGCTAACTAGGCCTTTAAGGTGTGCATTTGCCTCCGTGGCTCGTGGCATCGGCAAATGCTCCCTTCAGAAGGATAGACAAACGGCCGCCTTCTGCACACACCGCTTTGTACATTTGCGAGGTAAGACTTTGTTCATGTTGGCCTTTCAGTCTTGGCAAAGGTCAAGACCATCACCGTGGACCTCAGCTCCTCGATAAACCAATGCATGCAGCTCCTTTTCCGGAGAATCATCTGTCCTAAGATGCATCGTTTTTCACTGGCAACGCGCCGTCATGCTCTTCTAGTCCTGGTAACCGCCATGAACTTATAATCACTGTGCTTTTGTGAATAGACATCCCGCAACCGCACACCCTGGGCAACACCCTGCTCCTCCTGGTCGCCGCGGCGCCCACGTACTGTTTTCTTCTGTTGACTTTCCACGTTGACAGGCTGTTAAGCTCGAATCAGGCGTTTGTAGTACCACACTGAAGAATCGCTGAGTCGCCCTGATCTTTCAGCATATTGCCCCGCCCAAAAGCCCTTGGTTAACCACGCTGGGCCACCTTCTTACCACGCTCAACATCGGAAGTGGTCACATCTCCCACAAATTCAGCTCCTACTCTTCTCGCAGGCTCAACTTCAACCGTTTTTACCTCATCACCTCTGCTATCAGCTTGAGAACATCGAAATCTCACGTCTAGTACTCGGTGGTCTCTGACGAATCGAGGTTGCCGCCCCTCGAAGACAGTGGTGTAACAAGACCTCGAGACTGCTTCGTGTGTTCATGTCTCTCTTCCTACCATCTTCTGCAGTCGACTCCTACTAGTCAGTTCTGGATCAGAGCGCCCGCGGCCTTGTCATACGACGTCGGACGAGCCTAGCATGGCCAACAACATTCAATCCCGCTGGGGACATTTAATCATCGACTCTTCCCGCTGTCTCAAACGCTGTCTTAGACAGTTGAAAGATGCTGTTCTCAATGTCCCATACATCCTAGCTCACCTAGCCACACAGATGCGCTCCAAGCGATCCACTTGGAAAGTCCTGGGCCTCAGCGCCACGCGGAAGCTGGGCGAGATCTTCTGGGTCATCGCCATCTGCGTCCTCAGCGAGATCCTCATCTGGTGCCTCAGTCTTGCCCTGCGGCTAATCGACATTCAGTTCCTATCTGCCATTGTTGGCATGGTCATGGTGTTCGTCTTCATGCTTGCCCTGAGCAGGTTTTGTGACTCCACTGAGAGGTTCTACATGACGAGAATCAAGTCAAAGGTGAGCCATGACTTGGACTCATACCTGCACAAGCGCGTATACTGATGGAAGAAAACTTGACAGATCGACTTCATCAATAAGAACCTCGGTGTTGGGTTTCCCGTGCCTATTGTTGCTATTAGCAGAGAGGAGTCACTGGGAGCCAAGGGTATTGGCAAGGTCATTGGCAACTTTCGTACGTACCTTCCACTACGCGGTAGCGTCCCGGACGCACAACTAACACCGAAATCAGTCTCAACAAACATAATATTCTGGGTCTTGGTCTTTCTGCTCGCCTGGGCCTTCGTCGCAGGCATGCTTCATTTCCCTCGCCGACCCTTGCCGTCGTCAGTCTCGGAGCATGACCCAGTTAGTACTGAAGGGGAGAAGACGCCCTGGTCATCTATCCAGGCTCAGCCAGTCCAAGTGCCAGTCTCCGAGCAGCCGCCTCGTCTCGAGCTGCCTGCCGATGTGGGATGCCGTCCCTCCGACACCATGACCCTTCGAGACTCCATGATGGAGTACTTAACCGATGACAGAGAGGAGCTGGGGTCCGAAATCCAAGCTTCGTCGAACAGCCCCGAGTCTGACGATCACAAAATCGACTCTCCAAAGCCTGAATGCCCGACAGTGACCAGAGAGTCACTAGATCAACAGTCACCTCATCCATGGACGGCCCCAACTGAACAGCATCGAGAGCATGTAGGTCAGCAGTGGCTTGTTGCTCTCCAGAGAAGCTACTCTTTCCTGCTCCCAGCGGGTTTCCTGGTTGTTCTCGGTATTCCGGTCTCTGTCGCAACCGGCGACAACCGTATCCTTGATGGCTGCATGCTCTGGTTCGTATGGGTCAGTGCCGGCAAGCTGCAGATGGCCCTGTCCGACGAGAACCTGCTCTCTCGGACGCCTCGAATGCCCAAGGCAGTGATGCTCGTGCTCACAACTCTCATGAACCCCGTTCTCATAACCATTCTGCTCATGATGGCATACACTCGTGCCAAAGCCGCCGCCACATCCACGCCTCTCTTCGACCTTCTAGGCGAGTTTTCTTCCGGAACCAACCTTTCGGACCTCTGGTCACACATTGTTGATCAGTATAGGCTAAACCAACATCAGCCCAACCACTTCGGTGCTGGCGACGGCGCTCTTGCCATTCTCGAGTGCGGTATCGTCGTCTGGGGTTTCAAGCTCTACGAATGTCGCGCGCAGTTAGCCTCGCGTGCAGGACTCGCCGTGTGCATCGTCTCCACCGTATCGGCTGCTATCAATGTCTTCGTCTCAACACTCCTCGCCAAGGCCTTCGGCCTCGCACCCCCCGAGGCCTTGGCTTTTGCAGCGCGGTGCACAACACTTGCGCTAGCTCGTCCAGCAATGGATTCCCTCGGCGGCAACCAGGTCATCAATGCGGCCCTAGTCGTCAGCAATGGCATATTCGGCCAGCTGATGTATCCATTCGCGCTGAAGCGCCTCGGCATTCCTGCGGACGAGCCCAGCAGCACGAATCTTGAAACGGTCGACTCCAATACGGACGGCGCGCGCACTATCGCTGCGGGCACAGCCATTGGCATCAACGGCGCAGCTATGGGGGTTTCCTACCTTTATCAGCAGAGGAGCCGCGCGGCGCCGTACTCCGTTCTTTCCATGACGGTCTTTGGGGTCATGACGGTGGTCTTCACAGGTATCCAGCCTTCTGTTAAGACTTTGAAGGCTCTGGTTGCATAATCAGGGGTCATCATGATGGGGAGGGGGGTTGTATTCCAGCTTGTAGACATGGATGGCATCAGGATTGGCATCAGCACCCACCCCACTGCGGGCTTCCAAGGCGTCAGGGCAAGGTCTTTCCTCTTGAAAGTTTGGGTGGTCGGCGTGCCAAAAGCCAGATGAGGACACGAGTTACGATACGAGGCATGCCCTAATGATAGAAAATCAGCTGGCTCTAGGCCTCGCACGTGTACAAATACGTTTAATTGACGACGGCCCTCGGAGGCCCTCTTGTTTTTCCCCGTATTTTCTGAACGCCTTGATTCTGGACGAGGCTCTTGCCTCCATCTGCGAGCTCAGTGAAAGCCATTTCCATTTGCATGTTCCGACGGGTGGTTCTACTCCAGCCTGTGTTATGTCATGTCAGCAGTGAAATTATGGGCAAGCGAACGGATGGGGGTTGGCCGGACCTTTCAATTAGATGGAGACCGCTCGCCGTTTCAATGATACCGCTGACTTCACCAACCTTCAGCGCAAAGGCTGCTTCCTCGAACTCGCGCTGCATATCTCCCTGGCCAAAGTAGCCCAGGTCGCCGCGCTTCCTCGCGCTGCTGCAATCACTCTCGGTCACAGCAAGATCGCCAAGGCTGCTCTGGCCACTTTTGATCTTCTCCTCGTAACCGCGAATGATGCTGTACGCGTCCTCCTTGGTGCGGTCGATCTTCTCTTGACGCCAAGAGGAGGGGCGGCGGCTGCCCTCGTGCTTCACAAGCAGGTGGGCGGCGCGAATCTTGCCATCAGGTACAGGACCATCAGCAGGACGCGATGTCGATGCTGAGTGATGGGTGGCCATGTAATGCTTGAGCTTCTCTGTGTCGGTGCCTGGGGGCGGCTCCCAGCGGGAGACCTTGTCGGTTGTATTGAAGTAGTACGGGAGGTTCTTCGAGTTCGAGTGACGAACCTCCCAGTTGGGAGGAAGTCCGGCGTCAGCCTGGGGCAGAGTCAGTTGCCATTCGCCAACAGTCCTGCCTGCATGAGACCAGTTGAGGGAGGGTGGTTGAGGGAAATCGGGTTTTAACTAGAGTCCGTACCATTATTGCGACAGAGGTTGATGGTAAGACGTTGGTGAACGGTCGCTCTAAGGGGCCTACAACACCAGATGATGGGAAATTTTGATCGATGCAAGATTACAATGAAGAATTGGCCGCAGGTCAAGTCAAATGGGCCTCCACGCAGAGCAAGTGGAAGGGGATGGAATCCACAGATGACGTGCCGCGCGAGGGTGCCCCTTCAGTGTTTGCATTCTAAGCTGACCTCGTGGTTGCCGGGTGTCAGCTTCAAGGTCTTGCAGCGGGGAAGTCCCAGCCCATCTAGGGGCTTCTACCAGTGAGGAGAGCCAGGCCAACCCGATAGCGTTACAACAGCGGGGGTGGGGTAGACAGGAGCAAGGGTAGACATGTTTCAAGTCATGCCATTGGTGTGCAACCCACTTCATTCAGAGGGATCACGCGGGTGCTGAGGTCCGCTGGTCTTGGATACTACCTTCGCACTGCGTCCTCTCAGCCGGCCGTGGCGGCACTGTGTGTGGCAGCTGGTCGCATCTTGGTCACTGGTTCCATTCTTCACCAGAGCCATCCTAAATTTGGAGGGGCAACGTCACGCGAGAGCAGGTGTAATGTTGGGCAAAGTCCCTGTCGCGTCCTTGACATCTACTGGTCTCCCACGCCATCATCATGATACACTTGACACCTTGCCAGGTAATGCATGTCTTTATGTTTTTGGTCTCCAGAACGCCTTGTAACTCCCGCGTCCCTCTCTCTCTCTCTCTCCCTTTCCTCCTCTCTTCTCGCCAACCATCGGGTATCGTAAATTCGTCATGGAGCCTAATTTTGTGTTTGGAAAATATGGCCACACTCGCAGCAAACGTAGAATAGTTTCTGGTTAGCGACAGTCAGCATTCCCCTCTGCTAATGGTACATGTGACGATGAGACTCACCATACCAGTCTCCGCACTTCGCTGCTGAGACTGAAAGAAGACAGCCTCATTGTGGCTGCAAGACGGGCAGGAAATAATCTCGCGCGGAAGCTGTATGGAATATCTGGTCAGCAAGTTCGCCCTGAGAACACACTGAGCACGATTCATCCAAGGGAGCTGTCAAAACCACGGGCCGTCTCTGCCAGCCATGGAGCCTAATCATATGGGATTACGACGGATGCGTTGGTCGTGGTGAGTGCCGCGGAGAGATCCCAGAGGTCGGTAAAGAGATGTCGTGGTAGTATACGGGTCAACACTTGGAAAAGGTTGGCACAGTTTGATGTAAGAAAAAACGTTTCGGTACATCATTCGTATTGAACCCATAGCATCCGGCATGGGTTAACAGCGTTTTTTCGATCGCAGGTTGTGGGGTACGGTCCTGATAGCCGTGTGTCGTCGTCGCGGATTCCGTCGTGAGCGCACTTGCGTATCGAATTCGCAAAAGCGCAGAACTCTTGTCGATTGCAGGAATTTCTTGAAAGCAGCAAAGTTACACGTACAGTTGGGTCAGAACCGACATCCTGCGTGACGCCAGCCGTCTCGCCAGCCGCGTTGTTCATAACATTGCGAAAGACGCAACTCGATTGGGCTTCTTCTGTGTAGTGGCATGTACGACATGTGAACTGCAGACGATGCGAGTTATCGTCCTGCTTAGGGTAAAGCATGTTCGAGCACTCCGAGCAGAAGCGGAACGTGATCTGCTCGACAGGCTTCCCGCGCGTGTCCTCGTCAGTGGCGGACTTCGGAGACGACATGACGACAACAAGTACGAGGGCGGATAGGTCTATCGTTGAGATTCGTCGCAGAGATTTGTCTCGAGATGTCGTGTGATTGCTTGAGAGGGTTTGCGCAACTCTGGCAAGAACAGGCAAGGTTGTTGTAGGTGAAAGGATAACGCCTTGCTGACCGATCGATGCGTTGGAAGGTTAGCAACTAGCGTCGCCGCGCTGCCAACAGTACAGCGCGGCTGGTGGGGGCCTGGGTTGGGTGAGTGGCTACCATCCTTCCTTGCCAATTTTTTGGTATTGGACAACTGACAATTGGCTTTGGCTGTGCTACCCAAAGGGATTCAGTCCCCGGATGAGCCTCCACATGATATCCAAGGGGGGAAATATTGGATATCAATTGACAGTAGTGGTGCGTTTAGTTTGGTCCAGACGAGCTGCACAAAGACCTGTGTCAGAAGGCACACTTATCATCAGTAGACAGTCGGCACATACTACGTAGCTTGACACATAGCACTCCCGGAGTGCTCCATAGAACTCGGTTTGCAACAACGAACGAGTTGATTGGAGTCTGATATCATATCCTTGAACGCCAGCTCATGCATTCATATGGTACACGCCGGCCTCGGTCTCCTTCCGAGACGGCAATCCTACAGTATTCCTCACAGCAACAAATGCTCACATTTTGCAATGAGCGTCCTTCCACCACACCCGCTATGCATGCATCGGCGCCATTGACAGAATTTTGCTCCACTGCTTGCGCCTCAGCTCAGCTCCGACCACTCCGTTGATACGCGTTCCAACCGGGTCTCCCGCCTTGTTGATAAGGACGCAAGCATTGTCGTCGAAGCGAACCACACTGCCGTCACGTCTCTGTGACTTCGCCTTGGTGCGGACCACGATGGCATGTCGCATATCTCCACGCTTAACCTTGTTGGCGCTTGAGGACCCTGCATTGTCGGTGCCTCGGTGCTTCTGAACAACGACGACGATACGGTCGCCTGGAGGAGGTATCAGTAATTAAATCTAGCCAAGCAATCCTGAGGTTGGTGCCATCTTGAAAGAGAGGGAGGACATACCAATGCGAGCAGCGCCCTTGCGCCCGATGACCATGGCGCATTCGACGAGGGCAGCGCCCGAGTTGTCGATGCAGTTGAGCATTGTCTGAAAGCTGTTTAGGACCAAAAAAAGGGACAATTGCAACCTATGGAACCAACCTTTAATTGAATCATCTTGGCTTGTGTCGTCCTCTTAACGAGGTTTCGGTCTACCGCAGAAGTTCCCCCTAACGTGGTGATCCAGATCTATCCGTCAACAGAGGCATCAAATTGTAGATGCTGGACGGGTCCGAGCTTCTCCGGAATTACGTGTTTCCATTTCTCCGTTCGTAACTAACTGATGCAGGAGGCGTAGGTACATGATTACATCAGCTTGCCGGCACCGTCACACTGGCTGTCGATACGTTCCAGGGGTGATTAATGTCCTGCTGCACATCATTCGTTGGCTTTCATTGTTAGAGTAATTAGCAACCGGGCAGCAACGGCAACAGCCTTTGACCTCTATCCTTACATCCCCTTTCGCTCCTTCCCCCGTCGTCGTCACTCTATGAGACGAGCCAAACCTCCGTCCACAGCAACGTGCCCTCGTCCACCTGCAACTTTGCCCAGGCCGACAATTCACTCATTTCCGTGGTTTTTTATCGTTTCGCTTAGAAGCTCACGACCGCCCATTCGGTTAATACCTCTTCAGTGGCTTTGTTGATACCTCAAAACCGCAAGATTGACTCGACTACCTTCTGCCACCACATCACAGCTCCTACAATTAATTGCCGCGGCGACCCCCATCCATCTCTATCGGCAGCCAGAAATTCCCACGATTGTCAATTTGGCTTCGCGTCGTCCACCACTTCTCCTCTCAAACGAATGCGACAGTCGGGCCTCTCACGTCGCATGTGCCTGGAGCCGTGTTCCTCGCTCCTCTGACGACCGTATTGCCATAGGCTGAGCGCCTTGGTCCCCGAGCCTTGACCAAGCGGCGCATCATCGAGGCTCACCCGCAATGCCTCCCTCTAAGGCGTTGTCGGCACGCAAGCAGGCGCTGACCTTGACACAACTGGCCACGTACGATGACATCCTTACCGATGCCATTGTGGATCACGTGGGTGGCCGCACCAGTATTCTTGTATAGCACCGCATTGTTGACTGACCTCAGGTATTCTACTGGACAACGATTCCCAAAAATCGATCTTCTTACCATGCTTCGCGCGGTGTGCGCGAAGAGGAAATTGCCAAGATCATACAGACCGACCTCGTTCTAAACAAGGACATCGACGCCGCCGAACGCAATCTGCTCACGACTGATGGACTCCGAAAGTTCTGCAATTCACTCAAGACCGATAAGGAGAAGGCTGATTTCAGGGGACATCTGCGCCGATACTTGAATCTGTACCTTCCTGACTGCCCCTTCGAAGTCAACTCGACCAATCGTTATACTATTGTATCCCATGAAGCCGCCATTACAGCTCGCCGCTTCATTGCCAGGAATGAGACAGTCAAGTATCTTTCTGGCGTTCAAGTTATGATCACACCCGAAGAAGAGCGTGAGATGACCGCGCGGAAGAAGGATTTCAGCATTATCATCTCATCAAGAAACAAGTGCGCAAGCTTGTTCATGGGCCCAGCCCGGTTCGCCAACCACGATTGCAAGGCTAATGCGAAGCTTGTAACTACTGGACAAGCTGGTATCGAGATCATTGCGACCACCAACATCGACGTCGGCGACGAAATTACCGTCACCTATGCCGACAGCTACTTTGGCGAGGACAATTGCGAGTGTTTGTGCAGTACTTGCGAAAGGAGACAAGCAAACGGATGGCATAACGAAGAGGATACGACAGTGAAAAGGAGCATAGAGGACCATTCGGCTGAGGGTTACTTGCTGCGGCGACGAAGGCGAGATGATAGTGTTGATCGCACTTCGCGTACGCCTTCTGTTAGTGCCGATATACGACCACGTGTTTCGAAGTCTCGCCGAGGGCGTAAGTCAGATCACAACCCATCTGTCAATGACTCTGCGGCTGCAGAATCACCGCTGCCGCCCGCCGCTGCAACCAAGAAGCGAACCCTCAATACGCTGACCCCACCGATCACGCCTGCGAAGAAATCGAAACTCTCTTCGAACAACGCTATCCCTGCGCCGAGTGAGCCAGAAAGCTCGAGGAGTAGCTCTGCTGGTTCGCCTCGCAGTCACTCCTTGTCCAGCACTGATCATGGCGCATCTACTGATATCACTGAGCCGGAAAGGCAGAGCCCTGAACGACACTTGCTCAAGCCTCTGGTGGTTCGCAAGGATGATTTCTCTCTTTTGAAGCGAGAGGAGACAGATGAGCGGTCTAGCACGATGCTGACACAAATTTCACTTTTCTCCTCGCCCGCAAACATTACGGTCACTTCAGAGTCTGACAGGCCTCTCGATCACACCCCGCCCAGCACCAGACCTCTTTCAATCGCATCTCTTTGCAACCCGCCATCACCCCCCTCCTCTCAAGAACTCGCGAATACTACGAACCACGCCATCTCGGCGGCCACAACGGAGCCAGTGACCGATCCCGATCCAGTTGTTGCAAAACTTGAGGCTGCGCCGTCAGCGTCGGTAGAGCTCCCAAAGAAGCGCAAATATCAGAAGCGAACCTTTGTCAAAGAAACAACGCCTCCTGCCCGCCATCGAATCCCGGGCGACTACACACTGACGCCCCTCTTGCTTTCGGAACCGGAGACGGCCTGGATTCGATGCATCAACTGTGATACGGCCTTCGTGCAGCACAACGCGTATTACACCAAGAGTTCCTGCCCTCGCTGCGAGCGTCACTCAAAATTATATGGTTATCTTTGGCCCAAGACAGAGAAAGCCGGTCCGCGCGATATGGAGGAACGCATTCTGGATCATCGTATTATCCACCGCTTCCTGCATGCAGATGATGAGGCCAAGATTCGCGGTCGAAAGCGCCCAGCATCGAGCGCGACTACCCCGAGCGATGGGTCCGATTGCGTGCTGCCGCCGAGAAAGCGACAGAGGGTTTTGAAAGATACGCCGACAGACTCCGATGAGGATTGTGGTCCTGTCAGACGCAGTGGTCGGACAAGGAGGGTCAGCAGTAGGCTCGCCGAGTTGTGAATGGATGGAAGAGCTTGACGAACAAACGCGTATGCGGGATGAAGTGGATTTGTACTGGATTTTGGCGTTGTAATATCAGACCAATGACGGTTTCTTCTGCGGCTAGGGGCTACCACTTGCCGCATCATTTTAGCGAGGGCGTTGGTTTCAGGCAATGTAGCATTTTAGCTAAGCCTGCTTGGAAAGCAGGTCAATCAATCAAGACGGAAATTCGTTACATGAGCTGATTACAACACAACCTTCTTCTCAGTCTGTCCAAACGGTAGCCAAAAGTCAAAGTTGGCCGTGTTCGATCAAGCCCTTCCAGTATGGTGGTCTTTGAAAGGGTCCAGGTGCGGAGAGGTGCGCCAATCACAGGAAGGCTGCCGTGACACAATGTCACCCTTCCTTGATCCTTAGGATTGTCTTACGCCTCAGGATGACCTGGTTGGGTCAATCCAGCATCACAAGCAGAATTCCTGCACCCTTCCGAGGAGAATGGCAGCCAAATGCATAGGCAGCGTTTTGCTTGTAGTAGGTGTACCCCGCAGCCATCTGTCCAATTGTCATGGCCGTCTAAACATAGCTAACCGGCTCGGAATGGAATGGAGATGGCCGAAAGCTTTGGCGACAGTCGATCTTGCCGTCAGCATAAAGGTTGAACGAGGGACCGCCTGGTACCGTCTCGGGTTTCGCCATTGTTTTCCAAATGGACCGCATCGAGACCTTCTTTGAAAGACGAGTACTTGCAAACGTTGACTTGACAGTCGTGGCTTTGTGCTCCGTTCCTATTTCATCAGCTTTCAGATCACACGAGATCGTGAGTTATCCTAAATACTTGCCTTGTGTGGCCTTGCCTATGGGGACATATTTTCCTTTAGCCGGGCCTTTTTCAAACGCACCCCTCAGACTCTGCTCAGCATGCTGCATCTGTTCTCCAGCATGGGCATTTTGAACCAGATTATGCTCTTTCTCGCTGCCATGACAGCTATTGTCATCGGAGTCTCTGCTATTCGTTATGTATGTTGCATTGATACCACAGGTTGTTTGGTGATCCTTATTGACCATAAACTCCAGATATTCTTGTCAGACAGCAAGGATGAGTTCAACTACGAAGATGATGACGCCATTTATGCATTCTATGGAGCCTCAAGGAAACGGGGAGCGGGCAGTAAGCGCTCCGTCATCAAAGTCGGGGGTCTAGGAGGCTGACTCGATTAGGGATGAAGAGGGTTTCTTTTGATATTTGAAATGTGACTTCAGGGAAACCCGACACTACCTCAGCGACTTGCAAATGATGTATATCAACTAGACGTAAGACTTTAGGGGCAATAGTGAAGAAGAAGAAGCAGCGACAGCTGACGCTGTTGGAAGTACGAGAACGGGTATGCACGACGTGACTTGATCTCGAGGCTTCGGGTACTGTAGAAAACGAGACAAGACTATCCAGTGGTGTTGGTTCACTGTTATCGGAAGCATGTAGTCTGTGAAGAGTTTGGGATGCGTTGTAATGTTAGTAGCGCACATCTGGACGTAGCACTTCACGCGGCTTTTGAACTCTTTACTACTCAAGACAGGCTGGGCTGGATAAGACTTGTTCTTCCACACCATCGTGCATAGCGTATCATGAAAGCTCAGAACAGTATCTGCCACTATCTGTCATATCGTCCAGCAATTGTTTTAGACCGGGTACCTTGACAGTGGGAAGCTTCCTGGCCAAAACCTCGGGCGAGAGGATGTCAATAAACACGCACTTACGAAGATTTTGATATCAAATTTTGACATACCAGCGTTTTCTACGTTTGCAGGTTATCTCTTGTCCTGATGTTGTGCCTTGGTACACGGTTGGCCTCTAAGGAGTTGTTTCCAGTACAGGGACCGCGCCATCCAAATATCCGCGGGTCCTGTATGTTCGTCGTTCATCACAATTGAGATTGCCGAAAAAGACATCCACTAGAGGACACTTCAGTATCCTATCTGACCACGAATCAACACTCAGCAGCATGCCATAAGGTTAATACCAGGCTAACATGGCCACGGACAGCGGGTGTCGCAGACTCGAGCTGTCACTAGAAACCCATGCAATCAAGGCATATTTGCTCGGTTGGGTCGGCAGCCGGAGATCGTGTCTGATCGTCTCAGCCCTGTTTACGCGGGCCCACGCGTGGGTCCCAAAGGCTGGGCATGGATATATATTGTCCTGTTGCCCGTTAATCCGCGGTGCAGCAACGCTGCGGACAAAAGCGTCCTCATTTTCAGGCTCCTCCTCCTTCTTTGAGTCTGGGACCTGCATTCTACCTCTCTGGTTGGGACGAAGAGAAGCTTGGGCCGTTGTGCGAGCATCTTGTGAGACAGCTTTCTCGGCATTTGACGCGTCATCCCTGCCCAGACCTCGAGCATACTTCGCAGAGCGACCCAGTCGAGCTGAATCACTAGCCATATCAGGCAAGGCCAATCGTTGCCCTGAGGCCGAATCCGCGAATCAGCTACGATCATGACGTATGAACCCCGGTCGCACTTTACCACTTCAACACACTAAACCCTGATGAACCCATCGATGCAAATGAGGGCCTGAGCACGCTGTACATTACGGCAGCACTGAGCAATAACACTGCAAACAGCGCCTCATGCACCTGTGCCTCCCCACAACCCACCCCTCGAACCTTACCCCCCCCCCCCCCCCCTCCTGGCAAACAATTCTTGTCAACCATATTTACATCCAATCCTCAACTCGCACCATTCGTTTTCTTCGTCGCAGACACATCAACACTCAAAGCTCAGCGAGAAGCCACTAACATCTGAAGCCATCCTCGACCTGTTTCGTCCGAGCAGCATCTTCTCAACGACCTTCAGCCAACCGCGCGCATGGCGCAACAATGGAAGCCGGATGGGGGCTACCAGCAGCAGTACCAACAGCCCTATCAGCAGCAGCAGCAGGGAGGGTATGACTACAACCAGCAGTACAATCAGCAATATCAGAACCAGAATGGAGGAGGTTACCAACAGGGCTATCCCCCTCCCCAGCAGTCGGCACCACCTCAAGGGTACAATGACGGTTCCAATGGCTACGGATACAATGCGCCGCAGCAGGGCGAGAAGTACACCTTCGACCAAGCCTTCAAGGTCGAGAAGCCCAAATGGAATGATCTCTGGGCTGCCATCCTCGTGAGTCCATTGCCCCTACTCCTGCTCAAACCCTTCGGCCGCGCGAGTAGCCCTCCCCGGCCGTCTTTGACTGATCATTCCATGCCCAGTTCATTCTCGTGTTCATTGGCTTCGCAGCTGTTTCTGGCCTCGCCATCAGCGGTTATTCGAAATCTGGAGCTGGCGGTGGCATCTACGACAGCAACAGCAGTTTCAGCCTCGACAGCAACACCATCATCCTTTTCGCCTTTGTTTTGGCCGTCGCCGTCGTCCTCAGCTATGCCTACGTTTGGGTGGCTCGCCTCTTCCCCAAGCAGTTTATCTGGGTTACTGGTATTCTGAACGTCGTGTTCGCTCTTGGTACCGCCGCCTACATGCTTTACCGACGTTATTGGTCCGGCGGTATTGTTTTCCTCATCTTTGGTCTCTTCCTAGCCTTCTGCTTCTACACATGGATCTCGCGCATTCCCTTCTCGGCCTTGATGCTCACGACGGCGATTGACGTGTCCAAGAAGTACGGCCACGTCTACATGGTCTCGTGGCTTGGCGGTATCCTCGGTGCCGCCTTTGGCGCCTGGTACTCCGTCACCCTGGTTTCCATCTATGCTCGTTACCAGCCCTCGACGAACAACCCCAACTGCGACGGTGGCGGTTGCAGCAACGGCAAGGTCATCGGCCTCATCGCATTCACGACATTTGCCATGTACTGGATCTCCGAGGTTCTCAAGAACGTCATTCATACCACCATTGCCGGCGTCTACGGCTCCTGGTACTTCTGCGTCAACAATTTCCCCCAAGCAGCGACGCGCGGCGCATTGAAGCGCTCGATGACGCACAGCTTTGGTTCCATTTGCTTCGGAAGTCTGATCGTTGCCATCATCAACTTCCTGCGCCACATCTGCTCAGTGGCGCGACAACAGGCTGGCGCAGATGGCGACCTCATCGCATACATCCTCTTCTGCATTCTCGGCTGCCTGATTGCTTTATTGGACTGGGCCGTGTCCTTCCTCAACCAGTATGCGTTCGCCCACATCGCCCTCTATGGCAAGGCCTATATCCCGGCTGCCAAGGACACCTGGAAGATGATCAAAGACCGAGGCATTGATGCGCTGGTCAATGTGAGTATAGTTATCCTTGTCCTCGCGTTGTGTACTCCCGCGCCAGCTTCTCCTCATGCTGATCGTATTGCAACAGGAATGTCTCATCGGCCCCGTCTTGTCCTTTGGTGCCACCTTCATCGGTTACGCCTGTGCGCTGCTCGCTTTCCTCTACCTGCAATTCACGGACCCCGCCTATAACTCGGATGGTGGTTACACGCCGGTAATCGTCGCCTTCTCGTTCCTCATTGGCCTCCAGATTGCCAATATCTTCACGACACCCATCTCGAGCGGCATTAACGCCATCTTTGTCGCGTCTGCTTGGGATCCCGAGGTCATGATGCGTGATCACCCCCATCTGTACCAAGACATGGTTCGGGTGTACCCCAAGGTGCAGGAGGCCATCCACGCCTAATTGTGTCAGAAATGTGTACGCGAGGGTTGTGAGAGCGGGTTGAGTCCTTTTGAGGGGACCTAAAGCTGTAGCGGGGAGTGCGAGGTGCAGTATACCCAAGATTTGTGTAATGTTAGAGATACGCTATTTTGTAGGGTTGGTTTTGGTTCAATTTCCCTGTTCTGTAAACACTGCTGATTCATGACGTTTCCTTGTGATTTCCGAGGCCGTAACGGGAGTATCTACCGTTGAACGAGATTCACAGCAGTATGCCTGCTACGATCTGTACTTGGGAGCCAGGTTTTCTATCAGTAGACCCTCTTGACCGTCTTGAAGGAGGGCACATTTTCAGGCCTTGGCAAAAGGATTTATCGACTATCGTGAGGAATTTTGGATACATTCTAAAAAGGTGGAAGGTCCTCTGTAGGTGCGATAACCCGCTATTGATCAATTACTCAAAAGCCCACCGAACGGCACCAGGTTGCTACTCTCTATTGATTCATATGCCCTGAAATATTTCTCTGCAGCAAGCAGCGGACACCTAAACAAGACCAGCTGGAGTTCCTCAGAAATTTGGCCAACGCGCGTCAATGAAGAAACCAAAAGCACGAGTGAAGAAATGAATTCGCTTGCTATTAAACTTTGACAGCATCTAAAATCGAGGCAAATCGAATGGGTATATATACGAACTTGTCGAGCAGATTAAAGAAAACCATGCCGTGACGCTGGCTCAACGCGCAATCCAGAAGCCACCAGGTCCCATTGCCTGATCCCTCATGGCAGCGCCCTCAGTCCGAACACCTGCCCAGTGGACGGGAATTCTATCAACCTGCTTTTGAACCTTGTCCCTCGCATCCATGTACTTTTCGGCAAAGGACCTCTGGCTCTTGAGTGTCTTCATGCGCTCTCTCGTTTCATGGGGCTCCCAGTTGTCGCGGCTGAGGCTTGCCACTGTCACCATGACATCGCTCGCGTAAGCGCCGAGCGCCTCGTCAATGCCGTCGGCGATGCTCGCGCCGCCGCGGCGCAGCTGGCCCATGATGAGGACCTTGACCCGCGCCTCGTAGAACATGACACCCCCGAATTCGTGGATAAAGTGCACAGTCACAATGTTCTTGGCCACGATGCTCGGCGTCGCGTACGGCGAGGGCCCGACCGTCACAATGGCCTCGTGCCAGTCAGACGACAGCGTCTCCGGCAGACCCGGCCTCGGCACGATGCACGCCCAAGCCATGTACACGCCGCGCATGCGCAGGCGAATGTCCTCGGGCACGTCGCCCAGGTTGGCCGTGGGCACGCCAAGCTCCATGCCACCACGGCCTGTTCCTCGGCAGACCTTGCCATCAAACTTGAGGGGGAAGGGCGGCACAGGACCTTCGTCCGGCCCAACGACCTCAGGCGGGGCGCCTTCTAGGAGGATGTCATCCGCCTGTAGGGCGGCATATCCGGCGCCACGGCTGCCGGCGTACCGCGTCTCCATGGAAGAAACATGCGTGCGCAGGCCAGTCTTGGCCATGGCGACCTCGCGGGCGCGGGCAGCAACGAAGCCCTTCTTCTCGACGCGACGCACGACACCCGTGGTGGCAGCGGTAGCAGCCATGCGAGCGGGCCCGACGTAGCGGTTGACGACGTTGGAGGCGATGGTGCTGCCGACCTTGACACCCAGCTCGATGGGCATGGTGGCGAGGCTGGCGCCCTTGACCATGCTGGCGTCGGTAGAGGTACTGGCGACGCGAAAGATGGGCGAAGGACAGAGCGTCTTCTTCTTGCCAGACTCGCTACCAGAGCAGAGAACTAGACGGAAGTATCCGTCTTCAGCGGCGGCAGGGATGCGCACAACGTGCGTTTCGCGGGCCATATGTCTTTTAGCGTTGCCGGAGGCCTTTTTGGTAAACTTGGCCATGTCGCGCTGATAGGCGCGTTCGTCCGTGGCCGGCACAGATGACAGAGGAGCGGCGGTAGAGGGGGTCACGTCGAGCCAGGAGGTCGTGGTGCCCAGCATGGATTTGAGAGCCATGCCTGTGTTGCCCGAGTAGCCCTTGCGTTGGAGCCAGATGGAGCGCGTTGGTGGAAGTGTCTCATCCGAGAAGATGGTGATGGTGACAGTCGTTGACGGCCCGCGGTACCAGACGAGGGCAGGCGAGTGGCGAAGGATGGAGAAGTGGCGTGTAGACTCCGACGGGTGTGGGAGTAGACCGCCAGCGAAGAAGACTGTTTCGTCAAACGCATTCTGAAGGAAATTTTTCTCTTTGGAGACCGCCTGGGAGGATGCTGTGGTAGGTTCAGAGGTCGCCGTGAGGAGCTCAGGCCTCGTAGGGAGAGTGGGTGCTTGCGTCTCAGCCCCGATGGTTTCCTGGCCCTGATCCCGGCGGCTCAAGGGGAAGGTCTGGCTGTGTAAGCGAAGCTCTTGCGTGTGGACTTCGACCTGCGGCTTCCAGCCTGATGTGGGCGGCGGCCCTGGTAATGATGAGGGGTCCTGTGAATGTCTGCTTGAAGGTCGTGATTGGTGAGATGCAGGGGAGTACGGTCGGTAAGGGACATAGGTGGGCGTTGATGGCACGGGGTCATGCGTGGTGTATGAATGTATACGAGGTGGTCCTGGTGACGGGCATCGCAAGCGGCCATTGACATCGATGCCGGGAAAAGCCGCATATTCAGAAGTCTGGGAATGATAAGCTGCCTGCTGCCGGAGGTTTGGCGTCGACCTGCTCGGGCGCAGCGGCTCAAGGCTGTACGGCGGCGGAGGGCCGAGATCTGCCAACGAGTCGTGCATGATGTTGCTCGCCTTCTCGTTACTGCGCCCGCAAATGGGGATACACCTGCGAGACAGGGGATAAGTGCGCGATCAAGATGCGAATATGACCGAAGAAACAACAAGATTTCGACGTTCGTCTCGATGATTGAGATGCAGTTGTTGACCGAGATGAGGTTGAGTCAAATGCCCCTGACGTTGAGTGCCCATCACGTGCCTCTAGCCAAGTGTCCGTTCACCCACTCTAACACACAGCACTTTTACTCCGAAGCACCAACCGTCTCAGCACATTCTGTTTCCAGTATGAATGATGCATTGGACAGAATTCTTGGTCAGAAACACCAGGAAGAAAACAAGGATAAATTGCCGCACTGCGGATATGCCCTGCGGCGCCAGAGCCATGCATTCAACAGGGTGCCGGTGACTCGAGACCAAGGGCATGCACTTCAGCCAGAGGGGAGCACAAGAGCTTTTGTCGCGCGACATGAAAAGTATCTGAGAACAAGATAAGACAAGTGTCGGAGAAGCGAGAAATTGATCCAACATCTTAACGTAACAGACAAGAAACGCCAGTCCTCTCCATTCCCAGAAGTACAACTTGGGCCTTAGTCGACACCTGCCATCCCGCCTAGGACCGAACGCCTGAATCGACCCAAGGAAATCATCGTTAACCGTATCAGGCATCGCTATGGCTGACTTCGCTCCACCCTTTCCCGTGCAGCATCGACGATCTGCTGATCAAGCACTGGTGTGCCGGAGTGTTTGTCACCGTCAACCGCGTCCTCCGTCCTTGACGGGACGAGCTCCCATCGAATCATGCTCCTATCCATCCCTGGCCACAAGTCTGTCGGTATGAATTCGCCCACATCATGGCGAAACCCTTCCCTGTGCTGCCGATCACTCTCTACAAGCTTGTCGACGTTTTCTCGAGCCTTGCGCCAGATGCTCTGGATCTTGTCCTCCACCATTCGTCGTCGTTCGACCTCGAGGAGAAGGTTATCGTACGCCCCAGCGTATCGCTCATAGAATTCTCGCAAATCATCCATCTCGCTGAGCTTGCCATAAATGGTGTATCGCTCATCCTCCCATCGCTGCAAAAATTCTGCCTCCGCTGCAAGATAGCCTGCGAGCCGTCCGCCGATCTCCTCCAACGCCCGCAACGCGGTCGCCGTGGCTACGTAGGACGATTTGATATGCTCCGTCTGCTGTGTCAAAGCCGTTGAATCACTCATGACGGCACGAAGTCCATCGTTGATCTCCTGCACTGCCGTCTCGACCTGCGCTGCGTCATCGACAACTACATTGATCATGTCTGCGCGCTCTTCAACCGTTGTGGGTTCTAGGCCTGACATGTGCGACTCCTGGTCTGCAATCACGCCAGAGATTGAAACTACATCGCCGCCTTGCGATTGCGTAACTTCGGCTGCGCGTCGCCTGGCGAGGTCGGCTCCACCCTCAGTCGTTCGCACAGCCGTCACGCACAGGTCAAAATGTTGTGTTAGCGACGTCAGGATTTGTGCCATGCCGTGGGAGTGTTCGACGAGCGACAGGAGGAGCTCCGGTATCGGTTCATAGGCTGTCGACGCAGAAGGGGATGCACTCAGAGGCGCTAGGGAAACGCCCATGGATTTCTTCAGGGCGCGGAGGTCGTTGTCGAAACGCAGCAGGTCGCCATCGTAGGATGTCTGAATAGCCTGTTGTTCGGATGAAGTTAGCTTGTAACTCTAAAGGCGGGCTGGCCATACACCAAGGCAGAGAAATACTAACCTGCAGCTCTCCAAGGCACTTCTTCAGTGCGTCGACCATGCCATGAACGCTTTGCTCATCCACAAAGTCCATCAGGTTTCGAGATTCCTCGCCAGGCGGACGAAAGTCAGCCTCAACAGGCGTGTTTCTCAGCATCCTCATGGTCTCCTGCAGCTTCTCATTGGTAGCATCCATGGTACGAACGAGGTTGGTGAAGTCGCGCTTTCCGGCATCGTAGGTCCGTTTGAGGCTGCGGCGGACGCGCAACAACAGGTTCGTCTGGTTCGCGATGGCCCTCTGTAGAAAGCGGTTCTGTGCACACAGAATGGCTGCTTCCTCATGGGACCGGCGTGCATCAGTGGCTAGGTCATTGGCACGCAGCACATGTTGCATGGAAGAAAGTGAGCGCTTGGCGGCGAGTAGGTGTTCCACGAGAGTCTCGACTGGAATGGACGCCGCTTGGGATGCGTCATGGCGGTCTCGGGTATGCGAGGAAGAGTCTCGGCTGGCGTAGGCAGACGAGGCTGCGCTGCGACTCGGGGCATCGGGGGGTGAGGTCGCCATGTTGAATGGAGGATCAGATCGCACAAACGGACGGGGAGAGAAGGCTGGGGGGGGGCCAGGATCTTGAGAAGACTATGGCGATAAATTAAGGCAATGCATGGTGATGGGGAATGACTCTACGAGACTGAGAAGAGCACTGCTTGATGGCCGAAAGCGAACCAAATGGCAACGGGAGAAGAACGTCAGAGACAAGGTGATGAAGCCGATGACAGGCGAGACACGGTCAAGCCTACCTTGAGGAATGCTCCAGGTTCCGATAAGCGGGAAGCTCCCCCTTATCAACCGAAGGATGTGGCACATGTCATGCTTGGCATTATGGCGCTGCGCTTCTCTCCACTTTTCCATGGGTTTGAGGTGCCTTAGGTAATCGGGCGGATCTGGACGGGTTTGGTCACCAGCTGGCAGTCTTTACGGCCCTTACCTACCTAAGGAAGGGGCATTCTTGAACTTGTAGAGGGAGACCAGCGGGATATCGTCTTGACATGAGGGAAAGCCGAGCACGCTACGAAGTTCGGCTTCCGATAAAATGGCATCAGGTACAACAGGATGGTCTTCGTTGCCTTAGGAACCCCGTAAACTACCTAGTTACGGCAGTTTTCTAGGCTGTGGAATATAATCTTTGGGATAAAGAAATATGTCTTAATGAGTGGGATACAGCTGGATAGACGAGACCAAGTTGTTCCCGAAGTCCTGATTCCGAGCGTGAAAAAAATGGGTTTGCCCCTGAGGAAAAAATCAATCAAAATTGTTTCCTTTGCTCTGGCCGGAGTCCAGCGATTGTCGGGTTATTAATATGCGTATCAACGTCACAGAGGAGAGTCAGTAGCAAACCTGACCGTCTCAAGCCTGGTGCGGATCCTCACGATTCATTGCCGATCAATGATCAGCCCAGTCGATCCGGTCGGCGGTTCCGATCGATCTGTACCTCACATTCAGAACAGAAGCGAGGGTCGACACAGACGGGACATCGGACTGGAGCGAAGATCAATGGCTCGGACAGGCGAATCCTACGTGGAACAGGTGCTGGCGGGTTTGGTTTGCATGAATCTGGGTTGATCGGATGGCGGGGTGGCATTGTCATATGTATCCACGGCCACAACAGAAATCCCAGTCTTCTTTTCCGCCTGCCAAGCCTAGGCTCATGCACAACAGATGGTTGGTCGACATCAGATAGATTTCGCCCGAAGCACCAGTGTCCCAGCTCTTGAGCCGAGATGACAATATCGCCTGTACGAGTGACGGGGCGGGCTTGCGCTTTGGCGGGTGGTAATAATAAACATGGGCAATGCGCCGCCGTCACGCTGACTGTTGGCCGTTGCAGGTTGACAGCGACGGCGTGAGGCCTGTCAAGGAAATAGCGCGCGGTCTAGTGGTATCATGATTGGTGGCCGCTGGGGTGTACGAAAAAGGAAAGCTGGAGACCATGTCGAGCTTGCATAGCATCGAAACGTGGGCTCATCTGCCCCTGACTCCTTAAGACAGGGCTGTCATCGTTAGCAAAGGTCAGGATGGATGAGGCTCACGGCCTGAGGAGCGTCCCATATCCTCATACCACATCCTCCCTCTCCCCTTGGTTGTTCCTCCTCGCCCCAAGGTGAAACGTGGTGTGGCGCGTGTAAGGACGAATGTGTATAGAGTCATTGGCCTGGCAGCTGGAGGCTGTGGGGGGCTCCATCAGGGGTGCTGCCGGGGACAGATCTTGGCGGTTTCAGTTGAGCTCTTGAGCGCTAACCTCGTCCTGGACCCGACAGGCGCAAGCGAGGCCAATCGGCAGCCCCAGCGAGCGTGATGGATCACCTCCACATGGCCCCAAATGGACGTCGGTTCCGATGCTTCTTGCTGTCTTCCATGTCTTCCCTTCAACGCCTCGACCACATCTCCACCACTGCTCAATCTTACCCTGCATGAGTACACGGACAACTCCCATTACCACGGACGGGGTCATCCTCGCCTACTCGGTCTGCAACCCTCTTCGCATCTAGTTCATCTCATCAACCAACGATCCCTCCCCTGGTCTCCCGCCGCACAGCAACCCCCCTCGTCACGATGCGCCCAGCCGCCAGCCCGACCAGGGCCCTGGACGACTCTTCCCAAACCACCATGACCGCCGAGTTTAATTGAAACTATGGCGGAGCTCTCGCCCAGCTCCTTTCATCCTGCCTGTCAGTTGGCACCATTATCGGTGCAGAATCAGATTGCAGCCGCCGCCTTTCGACCTCGCCTCGCCTCACCCCGCCTGGTCTGACCTGGTCCGGCCGCCGGGGGCCTGGTCACGATGCCGCCATATATATCGCCTCCCCCGTGGTCCGACATCCCTCAGACTCCCGAAGAAAGTCACCTTCGTTCATCTGTAGCTGTGGTTCATCCTGTTCATTCCTTCTTTTTTTGTGCTTGCAACTAGCTTGCGTTCATTCATTCATTCAACTTTTTGATCACACTCTTTCATCGACCCGGCAGTCGATTCATTTCTCCAGGCCTTTTTTGCCTTTCCAACCACACGGATTACCACTACCGCTCTTTTACCAAGCAACTTGACAACCCCTCGAAAAACCCGACCTTTACGTTTCCACCAATCACGCCGCCACCCAAAGGAACCGTCATCATGAAGTACCTTGCTACCATCCTTAGCTCCGCAGCCCTGGCGGCTGCCCACGGCTTCGTCGACACCGCCGTCATTGGTGGCAAGGATGTTGAGTTCTACCAGCCTTACACCGACCCCTACACGAGCCCTGTCCCCGAGCGTATCTCTCGTGTCATCGCCGGCAACGGCCCTATCCTCGATGTCACCAGCCCTGACATGCAGTGCGGTGGCTCCGGCTCCGGCTCCAAGCCCGCTGCCCTTCACGCCCCGGCCGCTGCCGGCTCCACAGTCTCCCTGAGCTGGACGCTCTGGCCCGACTCGCACGTTGGACCCGTCATTACCTACATGGCCCGCTGCCCTGACGCCGGCTGCGATGCCTACGAGCCCGGCACTGAGTGAGTAGTCCTTGTTCGAAAAGATGCAACTGGTTCGACTGACTGACCGAACGCAGCGCCGTGTGGTTCAAGATTCAGGAGGCTGGCCGTAAGGGTACCACGAACGAGTGGGCTGCTTCTGCTCTCATGAAGGCTGGTGCCACTGCCGACTACACTATCCCCGAGTGTCTTGCGCCTGGCTTCTACCTCGTCCGTCACGAGATCATCGCCCTTCACCAGGGTGCCGAGTTCTACCCCGGCTGCCACCAGCTTGAGGTTTCCGGCTCCGGCTCCACCACCCCCTCGTCTGGTCTTGTTGCGTTCCCCGGTGCTTACTCGGCGTCTGACGCCGGTATTGACTACAGCCCCTACCAGAGTAAGTCATTCCATTCTGACACCCCCAGCCACCGTCAACCATACTGACCCTGTCTCAGCCACCGAGGAGTATACGATCCCTGGCCCCAAGCTCTTTACCTGCTCTGGCGCCTCGCAGCCTGATGCTTCTGCCCCTGCTCCTGTTGCCACTGACGCTCCCGTCTCCTCTGCTGCCCCTGTCGCCACCGCTCCTGCTACCACTGCCGCCCCCACCACTCCCACTGAGCCCGCCACTCCCGTTGAGGAGGAGGAGCCTGTTGAGGACGATGAGTGCCCTGCCGAAGACGAAGAGGAGGAGGAGCTTCCCGTCGAGGATGACGAGTGCCCTGCCGAAGACGAGGAGGAGGGTCTTGATCCCGTTGCCGTCGATGATGACGAGTACGATGACGAGAACACCGACGAGGACTGCCCCGCTGAGCCCATCGAGGAGGGCACCGAGGAGCCCGTTGAGGAGGAGGAGCCCATCGAGGACGATGAGTGCCCCGCGGATGAGGAGGAGGAGGACGTCGATGCCGAGGAGCCCGTCGAAGATGACGAGTGCCCTGCTGATGATGGCGAGGAGGTTGAAGAGCCCGTCGCCGAGGAGGACGATGATGAGTACGAGGACATTGAGGAGTGCGAGCCTGTCGTACCCACCAAGCGCCAGAGCCTCCACGAGCGCCGTTCCGTCTACTAAGCTGTGCGGAACCACGCCCTGTCAACGAGTGTGTTCCGTCAGCCCATAGGTGGCTGACCTCTGCTCTTGCTACCGGCCTGTGAGTTTGTGGCTCTGGTCCGCAGCAAGTCATGTACACACACCCCGCGTACAAAGTTTCTTGTATATGAGCTCGTTTTGTTATCCTGTACATATTTACACCACTGCACACACATGAATAGACATGCTTCATGGTCTAAGGTTGGATGATCTTTCCATTCGGTTCCCGTGTTGAAACATCTCGTACCGGGATTGTGATCAATGCGGATAGTACCATACATTCGCCATGGTATATGATGTGCATGCACCATACCGACTGCGATCAGATCACCGTAGGAGCATTGCTGTCAGCGTTTCAGAACTTGAAGTCATTCTTCGCCATCATCGCGCTTCCTACGACACCAATCATTAAAGTCTTTGTCGTTGATGCTATACCATGACTGACAGATATAATCCGAGAGGTTTCTCAATCTGCTTCTTGGTCTGAAGTAAGGCCCCCTTGTATAAGCAACCTCCTCCGCCAAGTGACATGTGAAGGAAGACCACCCTAAGCCTCCTCTATAACTGAGCGACAGCTATGATGGCTGCCAGAGTCCCAGCCCAGAGGTTATACGAGTGATGAGACCCCCCAGCAGTTATGATCGCCGGTCCCGAGATCGTCGGTACTGGTTCTTCAGGGGCAGTGAACGATGTTGGCATGACAATTGTCGTCGAGGACGTTGGGTTTTGTCCGTCATAAAGCGGGATAGTTAGGCTTCCGTCGGATGTCATCTGACTAGGCGCATCATATGATGGCGTAGTAGGAGCGGGTACGATGGGATAGACGGTCGGCGGTTGGCTGTTGGACATGGCAACGCTAGAGAACAATTCGGTACTACACGGTGTCGAAGTGCTGGGGAGACCTGGCGACACGACGACGATGAAGGTTGAGCCGGAACTCGGATCTTTCGAACACGGCGAGGAAGTGGACGTCAGGCCATACTCGCCAGGAGGTATAGTGGTCGAGGAGGAGGAACCAAGACCAAGACCATGTGCGCTCTCTGTTGTCATTGCTGTAGTGGAGTCTTGAGGAATCGAGGGCCCCGATGTACTGAAGGCTGGTTGCTCCAGATCGTCAGAGCAGAGCGATGTGGATGGCAGCACCGACGCCGCGCTTGATTCGCAGGGGCTATAAAGCGGTTGGATCGTGATAGATAAAACCTCGATCGGGGTTGTGGCTGGAGCCGTAGCTGGAACCCCACAGCTTTGACGACCACTGCAGACTGCATAAATGTTGGCGTAGGAGTTGTCAGCGTCCATATAGCCACAAAACCCGAGGTTGACGTCCCCGCGACACGGGTTGTTGCAAGCACTGTCGTCCTTTTTTAGGCTGTTGAGGTCACCGATGCTATCGCCGCAAAGGCATAGTCTGCAAGTGTAAAGGTTCAGCATGATACAAGATTTATAATTTGGGCTGGAGATGAAAATGAAAGACGGACTCTACGAAAGCTGCCGCATATTCGTAGCCTTCGCAAGCAAATTGGCACTGCTGAGGCGTGAAAGGATCCACGAAGTTGGCAGTGTGGTCGAACGCGATGTTCCCAATATCTACGCAACCGGAATATTTCCAGGAAGGCCCGGCGAATGTGGCTTGAGCCGCGACACAAGCTGCCGATAGGAACGGGACGAGGACGGCGTAAGTTCTCATGGCGATCGAGGCCTTGAAGCTTGCTGCCGTCATATTATGAAAAGTAAAGGAGGAAAGAATGTGAGATATCCCGAAGACTTGAAATCACGGATTTTGAGGAGAAAACCGCAGGCCTTTCTACCTCGTGCCCTGAAAGGAGCATATCTGGCGTAAGATTGAAGGTGTATTTGAACGAATGCGGTGTAACGACGTGGTAAGGGCAGATGCAGGGGAATATCTTCCATCGCTAGGTTATCAGATTGTTGAGCCACTGTGCCGCAACCTCCTCGTGGTGGCAGGAGCAATACAAAGTGACTTGCCCAGGTAGCCAAGTAGCCCTCGAGAAATGCTCTCCGACTCGCAGCAGGCACAACTGATGAAGACCTTCGCCGGGCATTGCCTCGCCATTGCAGGGAAGGTTCATTGTGCCATGAATGGGCTATGCAACAGCGTGGCTGCTTTTCTCGCTTGGTCACTGCAGTGATGTGAGTACAGAATGAGAAGTCCCTGCCCGTCTTGTGCACTACATTCATCTTGCGTTCCTCGATATGCCAGAGGCTTCAGACCTAATTGATGCGCTGCCCTGTTTTAAGGTAGGTATCATAGGCGTACCAGTCAGGAAAAGCAGCAAAGAGCTGTTGTGCATCACGTAGGTTGTGGCTTCGCATGTCGACATAACTCCACTGCTGTGACAATAGATTTAGTCGTGATGTGACATCAGCCTGGCGATCGACCAGAGATGGCTGTTGCGGCGTAACGCACCCGTACACTCGTGCACCTCACTGTAGCCGCCACGATTGCACAAGAAGACGCGGGCGGCCCCGATGCGGCTGGGGTGGCAGCACATGTGACCTCTGAGCATGTTCATATCCGAGGATTCGAAATGAACACGCATTCATGAGCTTCATCTCGGCTGTACAGGGGCAAGGTTCTACAGATTAAGTGTTCGCACAACGGAGAGCTTGAACGATCCGTGTTGAATACGAAATTTCATCAGACAATCGATACGCCAATGGCGCAGATCACAGTGGATTGTGATGTGTTTGGAAAGGATCTCATGGTCTTGCATAAACTTGTTGTGACCCGAGAACGGCCGTCTTCGCCGGAGAACAATGGGCTCACTCGAGCCCGAAACGGCGCAATCGTCAGGGCTCTCTTTGATCATCCTAACACCACACTCGGTGTTACCAGGACACACCACGGGCCTTTGGCGGTTACGCACGAATGCTAAACACAGCGGTCGGCCATCGCGGGGTCAATCGTGTCTCATCATCCGATTGCGCTCGTGTTCTCCGTGTTTAGCGCCATATGCCACGACAGATGCATCGCTCGACAGGCCAAGTTGCGTTGTGAGATCACAGGCTTGAGCCTTTGAACATCTATTTGTGCTTCCTGGATGACGCAGCCACCATTTTCTTCTTAACGGCTTTGGGGATCTTCTCTTTCCTTTTCTCCCGCTTCGCCTCCTTGACGGCTTGTTTATGTTCCTGGTGTGGTGATGAGTACGGTGGACGACAGTGTGTGGGATGTCTTGGCGGCTTACCTTCTTCTCGTCCTTATCCTCGTGCTTCTTACCGCGAGGCCTGCCCTTCTCAAATTTTGACTCGTCACCACTGTCCAATTCAGTACCGCTGCCCGAATCTTCTTCAGAGGGCTCATCATCATCTGACTGCTCCTCGCCTTTCTTGTCGACCACTGTGTCAGCAAGCAAGTTCTTGTACACCAAGCTGTCACCCTTGCCCTGTTCAATTTGCTTCGCGTCTTTCTCAATGTCGTACACCTGTTGCAACGTTTGAGGGATATATTGGCTGCGGAAGACTGCATTGTCGACCTCGACATCTGCGGCCGCGGCCTCGTCATCTGCCTCGGGATCTCGGGTCTCATAGAGCTTCTCGATCGACTCCTCCAGCCCGGGCTCCTCAGTGGGGCCCTGTGTGGCTGTAACGAAGTGGAAGATGGCCCGGTCTGTCAAGGTGTCAACGCCCTTGCGTCGGAAAAAGTCGCCGACGTTCTTGATGTCCATTCGCAAGAATTCTGACGCGCGTGGATGGTCGGGCTCGACACTCTGTGACACATCAATGATGTACAGGGTGTTTTCGTTGTAGAGAATGTTGTACTCGCTCAAATCAGCATGCACCAGCCTACAGACTTGGTACAGCCGACGCATGAGTCCTAGTAGCTGCACGTACAGTCCCCTCCATACTTGGTCGAGGTCCTCGCCGACCAGGTTGGCGTCTCGGAGTCGGGGAAAGGCCCAGCCTCTCTTGTCGCCGAGGAAAGTCATGGCTAGTACATGCAGCTTCAGGCTTATGGGCTCGGGGCACGGAATACCAGCAGCGTGTATCCTCCTCATGTTCCTAAACTCTTTCTCGGCCCATAGTTTCACGATGCTACGGTTACTGCTCTTGTCGAAACCCTTCTGGAATCGATGCTCGCCAGCAATGTACCGCTCACGATCCTTGAACACCATGATGGACGTCTTGTACACCTTGATCGCGCGCTGCAGTGTCGGCCCATCGTCCGGGTGCAGCACGGCATGGTAAACGTTGGCTTCCTTGCCGGTGCTGATGGTGCCGTGGACCTCGCTAACGACGCCGCGATTGATCATCTGTAATAGAATCATGCGCGTCCGCTGGTCAAGAACCTGCTCAGTCGTGGCGCGGTCCGCCTTATCTTTTGTCCGGTCATCGTCGGCCTTGACACTGTCGAGTCGAATCTTGGCGGCGTGCTTTGAGAGAGCGGCGACTTGATCGTCGACGCTGGCGAATGTGTTGGCAGCAGGCCTCTGAGCGTTCGATCGAGATGCTGTGGCATCGCCGGGGCCATTGAACATGCGCTGACGATTGTAGGACTTCGTCACGTCACCCGTTCCGTCATTCCAGTCCTGGTCGTCGACGTCATCGTCTTGGAAGATGTCGTTCATGTCCCCATCGTCGTCTACTTCATCAGCAAGGCTTGCTCCATTGGGAGCTTCGGTTTGCGGTGCTGTCGGTTCGTGTTGGGGGACGGCGGCCTCGTGCGAAGGAGCTGTGGGATGAAGAGACGCCATGGTAGCTGAGATTGCCTAATTCGAAGAACGAACCCAGGCGAAATTGGTGGTCTCTCAGCGTCAAGGGTTGGTGAGGGGCAAGTCAAAAAATAATTGTTCCTCTTGGGGAGCGCTATCTTATCGATGATGGCGGGGTAATTACTCGATAATGAGTCACGACTCCCGACATGCACTGGGCGGGGTTCGGACACCTCAGAGGTGCATCAATTTGGAGCCCAACCTGCCAAGGAGGCGTCGATACAGAGCATCCAGTGTGATGAGAAGTGGAGTGGGAAACTCGTGTAGCTTGTCTTTGCCGCCGCCTGAAGTTAGCTGAAGCAGCAGAACCAGACGCTAAATGTTGTCCTGCTTGATCGTTTCCTCGTAGCGTGGCCCATGAAAAAATGGTGTAGTTAATGGACCCAGGGAGAGTTCATGGCTGGCACCCTGATGCACAGGACGAATTGGGTGACTAGCTCCACAAGGTGGTGCTTCACCGAATTCACCTTTCTCACCGAGCCCAAAAACCAGCCTGAGCGAGAGTGCCCGCAAAGCTCATTCATAACCCTTCATTCATTTCCTTCATTGGCCGAACATCGGACATCGCGTCAACGACATTCGACAAGGCAAGCTTAGAGACGACATCGGCCGCTCAATATGGATCGCAACCAGGACAATGCAAACCTTCTCGATACTCACAATCGACTCACGGCTGACATTGTCGCCCGCTTTCGTACACTCACTATGCTAGCGACCATTCAAGCGGAGGCCTCGAACCAGAATGTTGACCCGCAGACCATCGCCGTCACGGGCATGTCGATGCAGATGGAATTTGAGGGTCTTGTAAGCTGCGCTCCTGATTTCTGCGCCATCATTCCAGTCTGACCGTCATTGCAGAACAGCTCGGTGAAAGAGCTCCTCGCCTTGAGCCGTCGCCTGAAGGAACTGTGGCTTTTTGGCCGTCTGGGCGACGAGGACGAACGGGCTAAAGCTCAAGCCGAAAATCTGGACCAGGATGTCGTACGTGTCGCTGAGCTCGTCAATTCCATCCAGGGTAACCGGTACACCAAGCTAGCGGAGGAGAACGGGGGCGTTTGGGCGTTCATGAGTGCGGCGAACTCAAGGAACGAAGTTACTGAAGCTCCGCTTACGCAAATTGCACCGACTCCTGGCCCAGGCACAGGCACCGGTGCAGCACCAACACCGATGCCTGCACCATAATAATCGATCGCACATCTTGAAAGAATACAATCCTGTCCAAGCGGGGCGGCCGCGACCGAGAGACCATCGAATGGCGTTTTGGCGTTGATACCCAGCGGCAACATAGTTATGGTACATTTGGCTTTACATCCTTTCTTCACATGGCGCTGCTAGGCGACTCAGATTCATTTGATAATCGGCATGCGACAGTTTTGACTTCTGTACTTGACCTCTACGTTTAGCCTTCGCCGCCCTCGGGATCCTCGTCCTCGTCATCTACTAGCGCAACATTGGATGCCTTGTCATCCTTGCCGAAAGGCTTGGACGCCCTGATCGCGCCTGCTTGAATGCCGCCAGCGGTCAACCAGAGGAAGTAGTCGGACTTGAAATTGTCGACTTGCTGGAAGAACGTATGGAAGCTGGGTTCTTGTCAGTGGACATATCAATACTGCACTTCGCGACGCCACTCACATGTTTTCTTTCTCCTCGACCTCGAAGATACGCTGATAGATCTGCTTGTCCTTGAAAGCCTGAATCTTATCGTCGTGTTTGGTGAAGTCAATAGGTTCCCGGCCCAGCGAGTCAACCGCCTTGCGGCTATAGCCTTCGAAAACGGGCCTCTCCAAAAGTAGGCCAAGACCGGGCGCCTTGGGGATCGCGATTCGATCTTCGCCGTAGCTCTCCTTGATCCTCGTCAAAGGCGTGGCGCAGCGAACGACGAGGGTCGCCATGCTGATCATCTTGCGGATTTGGTGCATCATGAAGCTCTGTCCGTGGACCTTGATGGACACCCACTGGGTATCACGGATCTGGATCGGGGTCTTATTGACCTGGAAAGACTTGATATGGCGTTTGGCAGAGGGGTCCTTAAAGCTCTTCTGAATCGTGTAGTTGTGGAAGTTGTAGGTGCCAACATATTGATCGAGAGCCGCTTGCAGCTGGTCGAGACGCTCAGGTGTCACTTGGTATGCCCTCTTCGCTTTGACGTAGGCGTTTTTCATGTCTCGCAGGGCAAAATCCACGGGGCCAAGATTCTTCGTCTTGCCAGTGGTTGCTGTGGTGCTTGTATCCTCGCCGCTCGTCGCCTCGCCCGCGACGGCGGTAGCAGGAGGGTCCACTTGCATGGCATCATTTGGCGCCGACTTCTTGAGCGCAGACTCAGGGTGGTCATCTGACGCGTGGATTCTTTCCAAAACCTCAGCCCTGACTTGGGGGTCTAATTGTTCCAGGATAGGCTTGATCGCCTTCTCCTCGACCTCGGCCCAGAAGCCATCCACATCGGCCAATTGGGACTGGAAGTCATTGTAGTATCCCTTCTCTTGTGCGGATTCGACAAGCTTCTTCCACAAGAAGCTGTCTGGGTGGGAGGGAAGTAGGCAGTATGTCGGCAGTAGGTATTCGTACCATCGAGAGTCACAGGCCTGGTAGGCGCTAAAGGAATTGCTCGTTCGCTGGAGGCCCCAGACTCGGATCTGGTCGGGTAGGTGCGCGTTGATCTTATCGACAATGTCGTCGTCTTCGATGATGAGCTTGAGACTGATCAGGTTGCCAGCGGCATGCACGCCCTTGTCAGTCCTCGCGCAGCGCGAAAGACTCGACTTCTTGGGATCATCTGCGTTTGCCTTGGAGATGGCACCTGCAGCAATGAAGGCCTTGAACAAGTCCCCCTCGATCGTCTTCTCGTCCCAGTTGATCTGCAGGCCGTAGTATCCGGTCCCTGAGTAGCCGACCATGACAGCAACCTTGCGCTTCGGGCGTCGCTCTTCAGCCGCGATTTCGGTGGTCGAGAAGGGGTTCGCCTTTCGAGGATCGACCACAACAGCCTCTTCGGTTTCATTGTCTGCGTCAATTGTGTTGCCATTCTCGTCGAGTTTGCGTCGCTTGGCCTGTCTGGCATCACCCAGCTGCTTGCGCTTGTCATTCATCTGGCGCCTGGAACCGGTCAGTTTGAGCTGGGTATACAAGGCGTGAGCGCGAAGGACCAGGGAAACAGGCTTACCGCCATTCATTACGACCGCCCTGCTTGTTCTTCTTGCCTTGCTGCTGCTGCTTCTTATCATTACCACGCTCCTGGCCTTTGGCGCCTCCTTCCGCCGGCGCAGGTGACCCAGTCTCACCTGTGGTAGGTTGCGCCGCGCGGGGCGCAGAATCGGTCCCATTCGAGCCACCATCCATCGTGGTGTCGAGCGCGGGCGCCGCAGCGGCAGACTCTGACGAAGGGTTTGGATCGGAAGCCATAATCTTCGCAGCAAGCAGCTTGTGCCTCGCATGAGTGATGCGTGGTGTTGCTTTCGGTCCAGGACTGCCTGGTCCAATGTGTTGAATATTTTTCTGGAGCTCATGCACGAGGGTGCTAGTACATCCGCGACTAGCACGCTTCCGATCCCAATGATGCGCCCCGCTTGTCGTCGGCTAAAATGCGGTGCATCAGCTGTAGAGCTTGTCAATTCAGGCACACACGCGTCCAGAGACTACAGCTCCCATCGCCGTCGCCAGATATCTGGGCAGCCGAAATACAGGCTTTGCAAGTGAGCGGTGCATGCCCTTGAATCCAAAGTGAGATTTATATACCACTGCACATCAGGAGTTCAGGCACGCTTTCCGGGTTATCCTTGGTTGGATAGCTCACCAAAGAACTTGGCACTCGAACCTATTTCATCTGCCGCTCAGCGTGATACTAACAACCTAATGCTACCTCTATCGTACGTCGGGTTTTGGAAATTGTGACATCGCTGGTTGGTGAAGGACGTCACAGTCATGATGGCAAAGCCGTCAGCCCGAAGATGCCAGCCATACCCACTTCTTCCTCGCCCATAATAGCCCTGGAAGCAAACAGGTACCATGAGAAACCTAAAGTCATTGTGAGTTATTGAACCCACACGGGTGTGTCAGTTTGACTTTCCAGATCTGGAGAAGGTTTTGTTCACCATGGGCTGGGATCGGAGATAGCTCTCTAGAGATCATATAAGAAGAGCCACCTGCTCTCCCAGGCCATCGGTTTCATGGTACGCAACATATTGACATTGCAACTGGACAGTCCAAAGCAGCTTCAGCTTGACAGTGTACTTTCGGGCACGAAAGCACCTCCTGGTATTGTACATTCGAAGGCATATCTTCACTACCAAGACATAATACATCATGGCCCAAGCCACGAATCAGCAGCAGAATACACTGCACACTGCAGATACATTTCAAAGCCCTTTCTGTCTTCCTGGGGGCGGGTACAATCTTAGTCTTATAGCCTGCATGGACAGCCCTTGGGCAGTCCTCGTTGGGACGCACATCACTCGTCGTCAACACAGGACTTCCTATTTCGCGGCACAACCTAACTCAACAAGCCCGTGGATCAAGTCCACTGTACAGCACAGTCGTTTTTTCACTACCACTACTAAGAATGCCCAGCAGAAAGATTTGCCACGTCTGAAATCCAAAACACGGCCGAATGAAGAGGTCCGTGATCACCCGTGCATTCAGCGACTCGACGCAAAACTTAAGAAAGCGTCACATTCTTATTCGAGCACCAAGTTGTTCATTTCTGCTACTCAGGGCCAGGAGACTCTTCGTCCCCTTAAGCCGTCCCGAAGAGTCTTTGCTGTCACAAGTCCTGTCCCTGTACGGGCCTCGCCTGAGAACGAGATTTCTGGCGACGATGGCGATGACGAAGTCGCGCAGAAATCTTCTCTCGGTGTCTTCGAAATTGATTGTCAGAGCACAGATTTGGAATCTGACAGTTTCGATTCTGATTGTCAGTATATCTTCGACGACTAGACTGCAATCAATGCAGTGATTGATAGCCAAAACCTTAGTCAGGATATGACCGGTTCGTGCCTTGGCACGGATGCGACTGGCATTTGATCCATCACGCTTTCTGGGCTCTCAATCCGAATCCTACGGCCGTCAGTCTTGACGTTGGACTTTATTAAAGATCCGGTATTGATGGTCTTAGGAGGCGAGGGAATAAGTATGGACGGCATTGCCAAGTGATGTCTATGCACTAGGAATGGCGAGCGATGCAGATTGTTTGGGATCGCAGTCTACTCACATCAGAGGAACCACGGGCATGGGGAGGGAACAGTTCGTGTATGCCTCATAGCAATCCATGCCATAAATTACTGAGTGCAAGAGTATTGATTGTGAACATGGTATGGCGATGTGGAACTGTTGAGAGGCAACGTGCAGAAGCCGTTTAGATTGCATCCTCGACCAAGGCCATCAAGGAAAAGTTGACATCACCCTCGCCCATCTTTATATACTCTCTAACGAGTTCCAACGACTGGGGTCCCAGATCAACACGCTGCTCCTCATCAATGAAACCCCTGTCAACAGGGCCCTTCCGGTCACCATCAAGCTCGAATAGGTGCCCCGTATCGGGCGACTTGACGAAGCATATGTAGTGATGGTTGACTTCGTCTTCTGCAGGCGGCGCTGCGGTGCTTCCCTGCTTGGCGACGCTGTCATATGCGGCCTCGAGTTCTTTTGACGTCTCGAGGACCATGGCGGCCTGCGCAGGATCCATAGGAGCAGTGATAGAGAAGAGTGTATCGAGCACCGAGCCAGGCTCTATGTGAGAGTGAGCGATCACGCAACGCATATTGAGAATGAATGAGAGACCATCGAATAGGGTAAAAACTAACGGATGAAATCTTTCGCACGGCCGTTGGCGAGCGCATGCAAAATTGCATACAACCCACACGCGTTATGGATTGTCTGCTTGAACCACATAGCATCTTCGTCCTCCTCTTTGTGCGTCACCATCCAGTCGTCCGCGTCGGCATCGTCGGTCTGCGCCCGGGCATCGTACGCTGGTGTCGTGGGAAACACAAGCACAAGGGCTAGCACGGGTATAGAGAGCAACTCGCTCGTGTCCTCGAGCGTCCAGACATCCCGGAAACGCAAATCCGAGGAGATCCCAAGGGAGGCGATCAGTGCATTGAAGACATCTGGATTCGACTCGAGTGGGATGAAAAACTTGGGGGCCATTGTAGTCGGCACTGGTGAGGAAAACAGGGACGGGGGCGTCAAGGTAGGATTTGGACAGGCGGCGACCAGCAATGTCAATGTCAATGCCAAGATGATTGGCGAGATCATCAGACTGGAGGTCGTGCGAGTTAAAATGATAACGAGATTGTCCAAACCTTTCAGAGGTATTGGGCGTTTACAGTGCGTCTGCAGTGGGACAAAACTCAGGCGATGGGCAGGCAGGTGGCTCAGTCAGCGTTCCCGCCTCCGCTCCATATCTCCCCGCCCGTTCTAGTCATTCTGGTGACGGTGCGCCGCTGCCTTTGCGTCGAGCGCCACGGCTTACTACTTGCGTCTCACACATCAATTAAAAAAGCGGGTGAAGGCGCATTCACTGATTGTATCGAACCCTACGCAGTCTCTTCATTTACAGGTAGATGCTAGCCAAGTCAAGGGACAAAAGGATGTGTTTACCCGTCAGAGCAAGTACGTGTCACTCGTGTTCAATTGCAGAATGGCCTTTACGAGGCATTCCACGTCGATGACAAAAAGTCATGGGTATACGTCTTACACTAGCTCGAGCCAACAAACTTCTCAATTTCCTCTGGCTCTTTGATCGTTGGCGTCAGGTTTTCACTGCCAGTCTTGGTGATGAGGAGATTGTCCTCAATTCTTCAGAAGCGCGTTAGCATATTGGATCAGACGAGACAGCATGTCAACGCTTACCTCACACCACCAACGTCCCAGTACTTATCGAGTACGTCGGTATCAATGTACTTGGAATGGGTGGGATCCTTCAGGTAGGGCTCGATGATGAAGCTGCAGAAGTAGATGCCCGGCTCGACAGTGACGAGACTGCCAGCTGGCAAGGTGCCCCTCTTGCGAAGATACCGGAACATGGGATCCGAGTCGGCGTAGTTGGGAGTTCCGCCGACGTCGTGGGTGTCCATGCCGAGGTAATGTCCTAGACCGTGGGGGAAGAAGGCCACACTGGTGCGCGCCTTGAGGATCTCATCCGCTTCACCCTTGAGAATACCCAGATCTAGCAGACCCTCAATGGCGATCTTATGAGCCAGTTCATGAACGTCGTCCCAAAGGATACCCTCTTTGAGCACCTTGATGGACTCGAGCTGCATCTTCAAAACGATGTCGTATATGGCGCGTGACTCTTTGGAGAATTTGCCAGAGATGGGGAAAGTGCGAGTCTGTGGCAGTAGTTAGTTCGATATTCGGCATTTACGCATATCCAGTCCTCACAATGTCCGAGGCATAGCAGTCCCATTCGGCACCACCATCAAGCAGAACGTTCAGTTTGCCCTCGAGGGGTGCACTGTTGTGGACGTAGTGAAGGGTGGCTGCAGCGCGACCGGCGGCATGAATGGCATGGTAGGCCTGGTTCTTGGCACCATGTGCGAAACATCTCTCCAGGAAAATCGCCTCAAGTTCCTGCTCATTCTTGGCCGTGTTGACGGCCTTCATCACGGCGTGATGAGCCGTAGTAGAGATGGCGTTGGCTTTCCTCGTCAGGGCGACCTCGTAATCATCTTTGACCACCCTGCATTCCTCGATGGCTCCTTTGAGCACATCAAAATTCTTGTCTTCGAATTCAATGAAGCTCACAGTGTCCAGAACCTGGTTGGCGATGGCAAAGGCAGTTGAACCCGAGCCTTTGCCCAGCCTCGCGAGCTCTGCATTGACATCGTTGGTGTATAATACATTGTCGATGTCGTACTTCTCTTTGGCTTCCTCCGCGGTCATGGGCATACCGGACCAGATGACATCTTCAGGGTCGACGGGAGGGATGAAGAGTGTTGATTCCAAAGTCTTTAGGTCGAAGATATAGTGGCAGTCGGCTAGGATACAGCCGGTAAGGTAGAAGAAGTAACGGCGCTGCCTGATATCCTACTCAGCGACGGTGTCGGACTGATAATCAAATGCGTGAACCAGCATACCTGAAGGGTTCCGGATGGTCGCTATCCTCCTCCAACTTCGTGTGTCGACCTTCGAGGTAGAGAATGCCATTGGCACCAGGGACCTTGGAACGGATGTGATCCGCGACACGCTTCGCGTGGTCTTTAGCAGGGTACTTGCCCTTTAGGATGGTTTCGTAGTCCGACATGCTGGTATTCTTGATCGATGATGTAAACTGGCACCGCCGTGTTGTGGTCGAGAAGGGTGCTCGCACCGAGAGTGGTCGAGATTTCGAGATCGGGATAGAGGGATGAAGTGCGATCGGATGGCTGATCCGATTCCGTGACGGTGAAGCAGAGATAACAGCGAGCCTCGGACGACAAGTGGACTGCTGGAACCGCCGTGGAATCATTTAGGAAGCTTGCCGTAAGGCACGGCGCAATGGAGGGGCAGAGGGGTCGTAGAGGGGTACAGGCGGGGCAACAGCGAATCAGCTTCGTGAAGTCATCCTCCAAGCAGATGCAGTGTGTAAAAGTTATGGGAAATGAAGGCGTTGGATCAGTCAGCGTAAGCCGATGCCAGCCTTCCCATTCCTTGATGATGTCATGTGATCATGAAACCTCCCCACTCGCGTTACATAAGCGTAGGCATGTGATTTACGCATCGTCCTCCCGTCGTTCCTCACCCCATTCAGATGCTAGGCTCCACGGCCCCCCTGTATATGCAACGATGGAACGTTACGTGAAGACCCCATTGTCATCTCTATTTGGATGAGAATGGCCTGACCAGGAGCTGTCCTCTCAGAGTATATTTATTTCCTCCCATACGGGCAGGAATGAGCCATGTAGCCGAACCATCCATGTAGATGCGCACACGCTTCTTTGCCTGCGGAGCGGTTGCGAAACACCAATCCCGAAGGAAGCAATCTCAGGATACTGGTGGTTGTTGAAATACTCGAATTAAACCCTGACCGCCTGGAGTGCGTCGCTCGTGTTCGGTGCGTATCACCCACCATGTGTTCAGCTGGTCTAAGTCGTGATAGTGTCTAAAAGCATTTGGTTGATGGGCGAGCACGGCTGTCGTGGGCATTCCATTACCATTTAGGAGACACTCGGTTCAAACCTGCCGTATGACGGCTGTCTGGGCGATAGCTGCCTGTCCAGGTTCCGGGCCGCCTCCAGGGCACAACGCCTATGCAGCGTTTATCACGGTGACCGTCATGTTGGGACATTCGGGATTCTGGAGATGTTCACTTCCGGCATCAGAGGCACACTGATGCGTGACTGCATATTCTGGTTGGGGCGATGCCCTCCACCACGGCTGCAAATCACTTGTTCGAGCGTCGCGTGCATGTCGTATGTGCATGGAGATTGAAATTAGTCGTTTACCCATCAGATTCCCACGGCCTGCATGTAGTTCGCTGGCGCCGTGACCTGTTGATTTGACGTTCGCGGGTAACTTGACATTCGAAATCGTCATGCGCATCAGCTGTTGGTTGTGGTTGCCTGGCTACTGAATCATTCTCGACGCAGGTATGTTGTTTTCACAATTAGTGGCGTGGCGCGGAACCTTGATCCTGAATGCCAAGAGCCTGGTGTGTACGATTTCGTCGTCTGCACTTTCTCATTCCGTCAATCGAGCCAGGTTGGCAAGTTGGGTGGATGAACACTGTAGTAGCATGCTTCCCTTCGCTACCCTTGGCTACGGATGAATGAGGCCCGAGGTACAACGTTGGTCTGCTAGAAGTGATACGGGATTGGGGCCAAGATACCGGGCGCAAGCGTGAGAGTGACATGATCCACCTGAGCAGCGCATAGCACGCAGGGCTGGGTTGCATCCTGCGCCAACGGCAGACATATTTCCGTGCACCCTGACGTGCCCAGGCCTTCCCGCTACCTACCTGCCGCCTGGTGGCGCTGCCTAGGGTCTCGAAAGCTGGACGCAAACATGTTTGGGCTTTTCTTCTGACGGGCGAGCTAGCTGACTGCCGCAGACCACCAAGTACTGCTGCCGACGAGCGAGAAATGTCGGCTGAGAGCTAGACATCAAGTGGCTGCAGGTAAGCCGGGGAATCGGAACTGCAGCAGATGCAAACCGACGTAACACACACAGGGCCGTGGTGAAGATGATCAAGGACCCACAACAAAACCTCAAAACTTGGCAGACAGGAAAGGTCTTCGTGATCGATCAGACGAGTGGGAGACCGGCATTGGCCGATGCGGAGCTGCACCCATGATGCTTGGCTTCACACAGGAGGGAGCATCGACAGTGGCCCAAAACGATGTGACTCCATGACTAGAGGATTAGGAGATTGCAATAGAGGAGTTGCGGGACCAACTGGATCCCGTGTTCCCTGTACTCGCTCATCGTCTGGTCGCAATCCCCAGCCAACCACCCCCCTCCCCACGGGGACCGTCGAGGCTCCAACTCAAGAGTTGTGGGTGTTCAAACTCTTTCCTGTGGAACTCCGTTCCTGCCTCATTGTTCGTCCGCTGCCTGGCACGACTCGACTCGTCAGAACCGGGCTGCTTCTTGACTTAGACGTGCCGGCTCGTCAGGGCCAGACTGCTCCAGAAGCGGTAGAGTAACCCCTTGCTGCAGCCTTTGTCCTACCCCAAACGATGGCGTTATTTTGGGGGATACCACAGGGAGATTCTGGCCTGGTGGCGTTTGTACTACAGCGGGTGGCAGATCTCCGCCAGGCCGTCTGCGATCGTTGACTGCGCTAATGGGGGGATTTATTGGAGCTTGCCAGGGTGTAAAAAGCCACAGATCCTCTCTCCCTTCGTCATCGTCAGGGCTCTGGCCATTGGTTTCAAAACAGGATGAGTTAAGGCGCCCCAAAAAACTCCGACTGGCGAGATACGTTCGGAACGCTGCACCACCGTTCATGACACAACTTGGTGTTCCCTCCCGCAGTTTCTTCCCCTCTTGTGCATATCTGTCCGCCAGAGAGATGGGGCATCCGTCACGCGCTGCAATGACCGAAACAGACAGGGCATGTTCGCAACGTGGGATGTCCACAAACGCGCGATGGCCACGAGACAACTGGAGTCGTGCGCAAACGGTAGATTCAGCGTGCGCCGGTAGCCATGACAGTCGGAGGATCTTACACCCTGTTGAGAGAAACATGCGAGCATTCCAGCGCTCGTTGGTTCGCACGAGGAGCCTGGAAGCTCTAGCGTCACGCTCTCGTGTGATCGTCCACCAACACCAACCGTCTAGCCCATATTACTGTCCCCGAAAGCATCCAATGCCCGGTGGCTAACCTCTGAAGGAGCCCGGGACGCCAGCCTTCATATGCTCAAGCCGCATCCGTTTCCCCGCATGCCCGCCCGCCCGCAACCTGACGCTTATGCACAGAGCTGGAGCTGCTGGCTCGGCACTCTGTCAAGAGGTCGGGCCGATTGCTACAGAGTGTTCCTGGGTGGCTGTGACTTACGGTTCTGCCCTCGCTGCTTCGGATGCACAGTGTCACTGCAACTTGTCAGCCGTCAAGTTGCCGCGATGGGGCACCCACCCACCCACCCGCGTAGACAGGCATATCAGCCTGGCAGGCCATCATGACGTAGCTCCTGGCCACATCGACTTTTCCCTTGCAGATGCTGATCGATCAGATTTGAACGCGCTGGGTTCTGGATCCTGTTCCCAATCAGAGCGACCCCTCAGCTCGAGCGAGGTGGTCGTTTGTTCAGAGCTACGTACACAGGATGTCCATTCAAGCTCATGCAAAGCCTCCATCGTTCAACTAGTGGCACCACTGCACGGCGACCCCAAGGCTCTACATCTTGTTGATCAAGCTTGTCGCGCACCGCGCTGCGATCCTGGTTGCTTAACCCCTGTGCCCCAGCCTCCGGCTTACGACCAGTGCTACCCCCTGGCCCCTCTTGCAGCCCGTTGACCAGCCCAACCCCCGCGTGTATGACTCTGTGGCTGACCCATCCTGTCTCTACCGAGACGCCTAGTTTTGTTGATCGAATCATTGAGTTCTTGCCTAAAGGTGATCCACTTCGATATGAAGCCCGTACATCGAAAAAGACGGGCTGAGACATGGCGGCTGTGGTAGATTATGGGGAGATGTTTTTTTTCCCCAAACGCCTGGCTCTAGTGTGCGGTAAGGGAATTGTTCATCTGGAACAGGACACAGAGCAAGTCTGACATCGCAAAGTTGGCTGACCTTGGCGCCTTCACAAGCTTAAGTGAGACTTTGAGGGAGCAGGTGACATTCGCTCAAGTGAGACCGTGGAAACATCATACATGTTTGCATCGGAGGCGGCGCGCAACTGGCCGCTCGCAGCACCGGGGCACAGCGCCTAAAGCTCGGGACCGTGATACGGGCCACGGAAGCTGCCATGTTGCTTTCGAAGCTCGAAGACAAGGATGAAGGGGTGAAGCGGGTCGTACATCTGCCTGCCTTGCGATTACATGTTCGCCCGCCAGTAGGTAAGGCGTCACCCGGTCATCCTTTGCTGCGCGCCCCACGGTGGGACGCCCTGATTCTACTCTCCATCCATCCTGCTCCGCGCTGCACCATGCTAGGTGACGACGAAATCCTTAGAAAACGGCCATGGCCTTCCAAACGCTATGGAGGACCATGACTACCCCCAGCTTCATGTGGGACCAAGCTGCTGAGTGCGGGTCTCACCCTACAAGACATTGAATCTGATAGGTGTAGATGAAGACGGTGATGGCGGAGTTCGCACCACCGTTAACGGGGGGCCCGTGTGGCACCATCCGCCGCAACCTCCAATGTCCCATGTCGATCCCAGGACTTTCTCGTGTCTTGTACCGTCGGTGTGTGAGATTTGCAGCTCGTGGCGAGCGGGGTCCCACCCCTCCATGCGCGACAGGGCCATCAGCTCTAACCACCGTATACACCATGCCTGTCCAAGCACAGGATCAGCCAGTCTATCGGGACCCTTGCCTGGCACAGCGTCGCATGGCCCGCTGGTTATATAAGGAGGAGGAGAACCCCTTCGCTGCCGGGGTCAAAGTTCCTGCCGTGGGATGTAGATTAGTCTTGTTATGTCACACTGGTCAACAATACATTACGATGGCAGAACCAATCCAAGATCCGTATGTCACTCAACATGTCGACATTAACGCACACGCCTCTCGGGCCATGCTGACCATGTCATAGTCGCAAGACCTCTACGGCCCACGATGAGAATATCGAGAAGGGCAATGTTGAACCGCAAAATGATTCTGGTGCTCTGAGCAGAAACCTCGAGGCCAGGTGAGCTTCACAAGCGCGTATGCGCGATGAATGTTGAGCTGACACTCCGCTTAGGATCATCAACCCCCTCGAAGGCATTCCGTACAATCAGCTGATGCGAGATGTGGAAACCTTTTGCCAGGAAAAAGGCCTCTCTGAACACACGGCTGTCTTCCGTAAAGGTGCTCTAGTTGCGCAAAATCCTGAGGGCTACCGAGATATCACCGGATCCGAGCGCCTCGACGAAGCAGAGACTCTTGTGATCGAAAGGGAGACCACTCACAAATGGCGCATGCCTATTAAGCTGTTCCTCACCATTGCTACTTGCTCTATTGGTGCGGCTGTCCAGGGCTGGGACCAAACTGGTGTCAACGGAGCCAACATCTTCTTGCCCAAGTACTACGGTATTGATGGCGAAGGCGTCGGTGACCAGCTCATCCTTGGTCTTCTGAACGCCGGCCCATATTTCGGCAGCGCTCTCTGTGGATGCTGGCTATCCGACCCCCTCAACCACTACCTTGGCCGCAGAGGTGTTATCTGGTTCTCAGCTCACTTCTGCATTTGGCCTCTCATCGGCTCGGCATTCTCTCAAAACTGGCAGCAGCAGCTCATCAACCGTCTCCTCATGGGAATCGGTATGGGCGTCAAGGCCTCCACTGTCCCCATCTACGCCGCCGAGAACGCACCAGCGTCTATTCGAGGTGCTCTTGTCATGTCTTGGCGTTAGTGTTTCCCTAGGTATCGATATCCCCGCAAGAGCTAACATGTCCTGCACAGAAATGTGGACAGCATTTGGTATCATGTTGGGCACTGCTGTCAACCTGGCTCTGTTCAACCACGAACACAACTGGCGTCTCATGCTTGGTGCTCCCTTTATTCCAGCTGTGCCTCTCTTGTGTCTTATCTACTTCTGCCCCGAGTCGCCTCGTTGGTACATGAAGAAGGGACGCTACACCGATGCCTGGAAGGCCATGATCCAACTGCGCCACAATGAGATCCAGGTCGCCCGCGACATGTACGCTATTCACTCTCAGCTTGCTATTGAGCACAAGATTCTCAATCGTAACAACTACGTTACTCGGTTCACGCAACTGTTCACCATCCCTCGCGTTCGTCGCGCAACACTCTCTGCGTTCACAGTGTAAGTACCTCAAGTTCACGATGGCATCCCCGATCACATCGCAGCTTGGCTAATGCTTCATGGTAGAATGTTGGCTCAGCAAATGTGCGGTATTAATATCATTGCTTTCTACTCCACGACGATTTTCAAGGAAGCAGGCCAAAGCGATAAGCAGGCTTTGCTTGCGTCGTTCGGTTTCGGCCTCGTCAACTGGCTTTTCGCCTTCCCTGCATTCTGGACCATTGACACCTTCGGAAGAAGGTCTTTGCTTCTGTTCACCTTCCCTCAGATGACTTGGACACTCCTCGCAGCCGGTCTTTGCACCCTCATCGACAAGGAGAAGCACGAGACTCTACGGACGGCCCTGGTCGCGCTCTTTGTCTACCTGTTCGGTGCGTTCTATTCGCCCGGAGAGGGTCCTGTACCTTTCACCTACTCTGCAGAGGTATTCCCCCTTTCCCACCGTGAAGTCGGCATGGGTTTCGCCGTCGCCACGTGCCTCTTCTGGGCTGGCATCCTCGGCATGACTTTCCCTTTCCTCCTCAAGAGACTCGAGACCGTCGGCGCGTTTGGACTCTACGCCGGCTTCAACGTGGTGGCCTTCATCATGATTCTGTTCTGGGTCCCCGAGACGAAACAGCGCACCCTCGAGGAGCTCGACTGGGTGTTCGCGCTGCCCACCTCCCGCTTCATGTCTTACCAGGTGAACAAGTTCATTCCCTGGTTCATCAAGCGTTGGGTCTTCTTCAACAAGAACGCCGAGCTCGAGCCTCTCTACTCCTTCGAGCAGCGCCAAGCCGCCGGTCCTACTCGGAGCGACAGTTCCGATGCCGCCGTGTCGGACTCTGAGAAGAGGGTGTAAGCGGAGCGATATGAGTCGGACAAGAGCATGCAGGTTCGGATATCCTCGATGAAAGAATGTATAATGAAGTGGATGCTTTCAGGCATGATATGCAGTGGACTGGAGGACCGTGGTGTTGGCGATGCTTCGAGAGGGCCATTGCACCGGTTCGAGTGCGCATCGAGACTTCTTAAACTTAGTGATATACCCATGATTCAACTTCAAATGTTACACGAGTGCCTTCTGGTTAGGTTGTTCATTCCACTTCAGTCCTAGTCGTGATTCTTCTGGCTATAGTATCATCAGTTGTGATTGGGGCTGTTTCTCAAATATCCCGTTTCCATGCCTACTCAAAGCCATGGGACGAGTCTCGTAAAGAGCAGCTCGGCCAACGTTACGTAAGCCACAAGCGGGAAAAGGACGCCAGGAGGTCAGGTTTGAGAGACGACACCTAATAAACAAGAAACCGGTTACTGTAGTATGGATGGCAGGTCTGGGTCACGCATGCTAATCCCGAACACAGGACATGGTCGGAGAAGGATTCGCACCCCGTTCGTCGCAGAGCCGAAAACCGGTGATGCCCCTTGGCAGGTGCCATGCCAAGGGCCAAGAGTGCCAAAATTTCTATAATTATCCATCTTCCGCATAATCAGAATGAAGGTTAGCAAGTTTAGGCAGGGCTGCAGGTGTGGGGTCAGCACAGTGGTCTACTCATGGTTCAAATCGTCCCGCTTGGCACTCGACCGCCGTTTACACCATGAATCGCATACCTAACCCCTAACTTTGTCTAGGGAGTATTCGTCGATCTGGACCCAAATCGAATCCCTCGCTTCTCGGCCAGATCCTTCCCCCCGCCGCCTTCTGCTTTCGGTTCATGTTCCTTAGGTCGAGATCGAAAGGCTGAACTGAGTGCCTCCGGCCCGCCGTTCTCCGTCACGCATGCCGAGCTTCCATCAGCCTCACGTGTGTTGGTAAAAGGATTCACGAGCATCTTGGCTTATAGGCAGCACATACTTCGCAAATACAATGACGACGACTTCGTTCCTCATCGAGTCTCTGCTTACCATTATGGAGCATCTTCTACCAAAGTTCCTCCAATATGATGATTTTCACAGAATCTTTAATTGACCGAATCTCGGGATCGCCGCCATCAGTGACACGATTTCCAGGTGAAGGATGCAGAGTTCTGCATTGGCATCGTCATTTTTAGCCCATCACTCAAGATCATAATTATCCTCACGACGAGAGTCATCGGCCTCAGAGTGCTTCATACTGCCATTTGAATATAAATAAGACGATGCAAGTCAAGTTTGGGAATAATTTTATCCCAGTTACGCAACCAACAACAACATCCATCAGAATTTTTACTTTATTTTTATCGACAAAAGAATATTCCCAGTACTCTAAACACAACAGCCCTTTTTCCACCATGAAGAGCTCAACTTCAGCCTTGCTCGCGGTCACAAGCGTGACATATGTTGCCGCTCAGTTTGATTGCAACAACCCTGATATTGCCTGCCCGGACACGCAAGAGTGGTTTGACCAGTTGCCACAGCCTCTGGTCGACTGCGATGCCGACTTCCGCCCCGAATGGGAAGATTGTAAGTGAAGCTACCGAGAACTTCAGGCAATCAGACGTGCTAACACAAACAAGGCCAGTCTACTATTGATTACTGGTTCGGCGATAAGGAGGACTGGAACACCGACACGATTCATACGAACGGCGAAGATGGTCTGCCGACGCCATCCTGCCGTTGGTGGTTCTGGGAGGACGGTAACTGTCGGATCACACACTGCTTCACCGATCAGGCGCCTGCTGGGGACAAGGCCATCTACGCCTACTTCAAGAAGGACTACAACGCCATCCGCGATCGGTGCCAGACATTCCGTGCTGGTGGCTTCGTTACAGAGATCGGCGGCGACTTCAGGAACTTCCTCGAGGTCACCAATGATGAGGACAGCAACGGCGAAGGCGAGATATCTGGGGATCCTGCCAAGGTGAAGCTGAGGCCTCGTCTCTCAGAGAATGGCTTCCAGACAGGCGACCTCACCCTAGAAGAATATGAGGAGTGGGCCGCCCACCGCAAGCCGTCCCGTGAGAAAACGACCGACAACAAGGACAATGTCCAGTCAAAGACCAAGAGCAAGCGAGACGATGACGACGATGATTATCTGATCCTTTTCACGGCCAAGAACGTTCGCCAGCCAGGGGTCTACGACCGTGGTCCCCGCATGTCGCCCGGCGTCGGTTACACCTACACCAAAACTGAAGGATACTCGGTAACAACGTCGGTCAGCGCCGAGATTGGCGGTGCTTTCAAGATGTTCACCGCCGGTATCAGCTCGTCGGTCGAAGAGACCGAGAGTGTCGAGGTCAGCGAGTCGATGAAGTATGACGTGCCCTGCAACAACGGTCAGACGGGACAAGTGCACTGGCATCCTCTCTTTGATTTTTACGAGGTCGAATTCTTCCCCAGCGGCACCATTGCTGAGGTTTGGCTTCCCGTCAAGGGCAGTGACGACTTTGCCGCTGGCGAGTTCGCCATCAACTGCCTTGGTTAGGGGCTTTGATTTTGCCATTACAAGGGCGATATTGTGACCAAGAAACGTTCATTTTCAAACGTTCATTTTCAGTAGACAGTAAACCATAGCTAGAAATGTGTGCCCAGGGTTACTCGCCGATACAGAAAACAAGGAAATGGAATGTTAATCTCATATCAGGTGAAAGCCTTGAGGAGTCATGACAAGCGATATGGACCTAGAGATTGATGAATTCCATGAGATAGAATTTGAATCTACAAGAATATCGTGATATCCTTGCCTTAAATCATTCGTTTAATCAGATGTATGTCTAGACACCTGTCTTTCGAGCAGTGATGAGTTAAGAAAGGCTAATTTTTAGAATCGTAGCGTTCTTGGAGGTGTCATGCGCATGTCAGAGCGAGGGATGTGCAGAATAAAGAGGTCTTTAGCAGGTGATATCCGCAGTCAAGTGTTAGGTAGGAGATTGGAATGCATCTGGCCTCTGGCCCCTCGCAGCCCTTTCATACGCCCCCGTGGTCTCCGACCCCCATATCAACTCCCCATGGGTGGCCTCTGCAGTGAAACTCCAATCATGTCTTGCTCTGATACACAATGCCCCCGTGGATGAATACATACCACTGCAGCAAAGGGTGAAGCCCGCACATGGTTCAAAAAGCAACTTCCCCGACGTTCCCAGCGGATAGGATCTCATAGCAATCAAGGAGATTGCAAGAAAATACCTAGAATAGGTGTGAAGATTGATGGAGGCTGGAGGCGAACAGTGGCAGGGTGCCCAAAGAAGATAGTGGAGTTTGACAGCACTGGCTTGGCGAACTGTACACTCGCCCACACTATCCTGTGTGGACGTTGCCAGCTCCCACTGGTCAGTTGGCATTGTCTTTCATCATGATAAATCATAGAAAGTTTGCTTCTTCGCTCTGGTGACTGTCGGTCCATACAATACTTTCCGCATCAGTTTCTCCGTCTCGTCCAATGTTCTCGATACGCCGCTTTAACGCCGAAACCTTTGGCACCTCGCGCCGTCTCTGACCTAGAAGCACGCCAGAAGAAAATTGAGAAGACGAATCGCACACGCACTGTCTGACCTGAATCAGATTGACCGATTGCGAGTCATCAGAGTGGCCCCTGAATGGAAAGTTGGTCGGCGGGTGGCCATTCAACAAAATGTGCAACATCCAAACAAAACGACTTCGCGGTGAGCACGGCGAGTCGGTGAGCACACGGGATGACACACCCACAAACAGCAGGTCCTGCGGTGATCAGTTCTCCATCGCATGCATGCCTACAATGCAACCTGCACATCCCGTCCCTCAGCCAGCCATTGTCAATTGTCGACCGACCTGCCCGACCAGGGCGACCACTCAGCAAGATGATCACTTCCGGAATCTGCACAGAAACCAAACCATACAGTACGCGAACTGGTATTGCTGGCAACATTGGCTCCTAGGGATGAAAGAAGGGCTCCCGTTTCCACACTCTCCTCTCACGAGGCCCACAACGCCGATCAGGGTCCATTTAGTGCGGGTGTACCAAAAGTACAGTGTCTAGGTCCCGCAACACGACTAGCCGCGGCTTTTCGGGCTGGTACACTGCCCTCCCGACGATCGGCGCGAATCATGAATGCTCCAACTGGACTCGGAAGCACAGCGCTGGTCATCGTTTCAGCGGACGCCCCGAACGATAACGCGACGGGGAGCGGTACTGGCAACAAGTGTGCGACCGGATTGCTCGGGATGGCTCGATGGCCAGTCCGACAGAGCTACGCACAGGGGCAAAAGGACGGCATCGAGACTCCAGCTTGTCAAGGTTCCATCTCGTCTATAGGCTGGGTGGACAGCCTACCACTTCGCCGCGAAGCGTGTCAGCCCAGTCCGAATTGAGTTTCCCCTTGGTTTCTGCAGGCAACGGACGAGGCGGGCGGCATCTCACTCGAGCTGCATACTGGAACTTTAGCAATCTGTCTGGCAAGGTGGCTAGTGAATCAACATTGGCATATCTGTAGTCGTCGAGCAGATATTGAACACGTTGGCCCAGCTCACCCGCTGGTTGCCAGCCACCAACGCGTGCATGCCCCATTCTTCCTTTCCGGGGCCTGATCTCCTATCGGATCGCCGCCGAAGTCGGATGGAGAGGCTATCCATCCCCGCAATACAGAACATATTTCTTATCATTCAACAGAACATCCCGAGGTCATGCAGTCTCGCCATGATGAGCCACCTTTTCCTTGACGCTGCCGGGGAAGTCACACGGTCTCTTTGTCCCTTATCGCTTGATAATCTCGACTGCTCATTGGATGCCTTTCCTTAGCATTCGAATGAGCAAAGGCGGCTGACTCGTATGCTCGGGTTTCCGGAGGGATCATCCACCAAGCGGGTTTTGGTTATGCTGTTCGCTTCCCCAACAAGTGACCGAGCCGGGTTAGAATAAGGCTATGGAAAGGCGACCCCAGTAGGGGATTTGGTCATTTATCTCTTGGA